CAAAGTGAATCACATATTGGCACAATTAAGTTTAAAGTATTTTTAAATTCTTGCAACACTTGTGATTAAAAAAAATGTCATGGTAATTGATATGGCCATAAAGTCTGCCAACAGCTATCACAGCAAGAGTGTCTGAATGAACTGACACAATTACATTGTATTTTTTAACTTTATTTTTTTATTAAATTATTATTTGTGTACATATCTTACCATTGCCTCCCCCCTTCCATACATACCCTCCCTCCCCAGAGTTTTGTGTCCATTGGTTGTACTTATATGCATGCATACATATAAGTACAACCTTCGGTTGATCTCTTTATCTCCCCCATATCTCCCTACCTCCCCGCTGTAATTTGACAGTCTGCTTGTTGCTTTACTATCTCTGTATCTTTTGGTTCATCAGTTTATAATGTTCTTTATTATCTATAAATGAGTGAGGTCATGTGGTGTTTCTCTTTCATTGACTGGCTTATTTTACTCAGCATGATGTTCTCCAATTCCATCCAGGTTGCTGCAAGTGATGAGAATTCCTTTTTTATGGCAGCATAGTATTCCATTGTGTAGATGTACCATAGTTTTTTGATCCAATCATCTGATGGGCACCTAGGCTGTTTCCAAATCCTAGCTATTGTGGATTTACATTGTATTTTAAAACACTATATTAGTTCTAGCTGAAACCGGTTTGGCTCAGTACATAGAGCGTCGGTTTGTTGACTGAAAGGTCCCAGGTTCGATTTCGGTCAAGGGCATGTACATTGGTTGTGGGCACATTCCCGATAGGGGGTGTGCAGGAGGGAGCTGATCGGTGTTTCTCTATCTTCGATATTTCTAGATCTCTATCCCTCTTCCTTCCTCTCTGTAAAAAATCAATAAAGTATATTAAAAAACAACACTATATTCTATTTTTTTTAAAGCAACTGATTATTTTTAAAATGGCACTTCCAGATTCATATATTCTTCATTGAGATTCATAAAATGCATCCTTTCAAAGCATGCAATTCATGGTTTTTAGTATTTAACAGAGTTGTGCAGCCCAGAAATTGCCTCCTTAACAGCCTCTCTCCATTCCCTCCGACTCAACCCCTGACAGCCACTGGTCTGCTTCCTGTTGTGGGTTTACCTGCTCTGGAGATTTCATAGAAATGGAACCAACAATATGTGGCATTTGTGTCTGCCGTTTTTCACTTACCGTATTGTAGAGGTGTCAATACTTTTTTTATAGCTGAAAAATATCAATTCTGTGGGTGTACATTTTGTTTGCCTATTCATCACTTGATGGACATTTGGGTTGCTCCCACCTTTTGGTTATTACAAATAACGATGTTCCAAACATTCACATTTGTGGGACACATTTTCATTTCTCTTGAGTGGAATTGTTGGGACATGTAACTGTTGAACCCCTTGAGAAACTGCTAGCCTGTTTTCCAAAGTGACTGGACCATTTTACATACCACCCTGTGTGAGGGTTCCTCTTTCTCCACATCATCACCAACAAAAAGTTACCGGACTTTAAGCATCACCAGCCTCTCAGGTGCTGTTGATTGTGGTTCTGACTTGCATTTTTCTGATGACTAATGATATTGAGCAACTTTTTATGTACTTACTGGTCATTTCTATCTTGTCTTTGGAGACATGTCTATTTGTGTGTGTTCTCTTCCCGTTTTTCCATTGGGTTGCCCTTTTGTTGAGTTATGAGTTCTTTGTATATTCTGGATACAAGTCCCTTATGGGAAATAAGATTTGTAAATATTTTCCCAATTATTTGGGTAGTCGTCTACTTTTAAGGTTGTTTGCAGCATGCTATTACTTTAAATTTTATATTGAAACTATTACAGATGCCCCCAATTTATGCCACCTCCCTTGCACACCTCTACCTATTCTAGCCCTGCCCCCCACCTTGGCCCTCACCATATTATTGTCTTGTCCAATGCTATGCATATATGTTCTTTTATTAAAAAAAATTTTTATTGATTTTTTTACAGAGAGGAAGGGGGAGGGATAGAGATTTAGAAACATTGATGAGAAACATCGATGAGCTGCCTCCTGCACACCCCCCACTGGGGATGTGCTTGCAACCAAGGCATGTGCTTCTGACTGGAATCCAGCCTGGGACCCTTCAGTCCACAGGTCAGTGCTCTATCCACTGAGCCACACCGAATAAAGACTGCATATATGTTCTATAGCTAATCCCTTCCCCTTCCTTTTTCCAGTCCCTCCCAGCCCCTTCCCCTCTGCCATCTGTCAGTCTGTTCCATGTATAATGCCTCTGGATCTATTTTGTCTGTCAGTTTATTTTGTTCATTAGATTCCACCTATGGGAAGGGAAGATGGCTGCTGATGGGAAGGCAAACTGCAAGATAGTGTGTGAGTGACAGAACAAAGGGAGAGTGTGTGGTAGCACGGGGAGTGTCTGCAGGTGAGCTGAGGGACAGCTATGCTCCAGGAGAAGGTGGGGGACTACTTAAAGAGGCTCCCTGACTGGGCAGCCCCCAGCGCTGCTGGGTTCCCTCCCGGAGCAACCAGCTCTGACATGAGACTGCACCATCTTGAAGGGGAAAGTGGATGTTATTGGGAGCCTGAACAATCTACAACTACGGCACCCAGCACACAGCTGTGAATCTGAGAACACAGGTTCCCAAATGGCATGAGCATGTGGATTCGGAGGAGCTCTGCACCCCTCATGGAAAGGAGAGAACTATTATACATACCAAACACCCAGAGAGAGATCATGGGAGACACAGAAACAGCTCACATATGAAAGAAAAGCAAGCATCACCACAAAAGGAAGTAAACAAAATGGAGGTAAGCAACCTATTAGAGACAGAATTCAGAGAAATGGTCATAAGGTGGATGAAAAGAATGGAAGACAAATGCAACAATATGTGTAAGAACCAAGAGGAAATGAGGAACCAAGAAGAAATGAAAAATAACATCTCGCCAAAACCGGTTTGGCTCAGTGGATAGAGTGTCGGCCTACGGACTAAAGGGTCTCAGGTTCGATTCCAGTCAAGGGCATGTACCTTGGTTGCGGGATACAGTGGGGAATGTGCAGGAGACAGCTGATTGATGTTTCTTTCTCATCGATGTTTCTAACTATCCTCCCTTCCTCTCTGTAAAAAAAAAATCAATAAATATACCGTATTTTCTGGCGTATAAGATGACCCCCTAATTTTATAGTTAAAACATAGGTTTAGGCCTATATCGCTGTATAAGACTACCCCCCACTTCAAAGAAAAGACTTACTTTGCCGTCAAGATCTGCAGGTAATTTTTGTGCAATTTTGGTCTTTTGCCCCTGATTTTCGGTTGACTTTTTTTCGTTTCAAAAGTCGTCTTATACACCGGAAAATACAGTATATTTTTAGAAAAATGACATCGCTGTTATAAAGAACTCAATAGAAGGCATCACTGAAGCAGAGGACTGCATCAGTGAGCTAGAACATATGGTAGGAAAAAATAAGCAAGTAGAGCAGCTTCAAGAAAAAATAAAAAGCAAAAGGAGAGCCAAAGGGAACTTTGGGACAACACAAAATGAAACAACATCTGCAGAGGAAACTAAGCAAGGAATAGAAAACCTGTTTGAAGAAATAATGGCAGAAAACTTTCCTGATATAGGGAAGAAAACCCCCACACATATCCAAAAAGCTCAGAGTCCCAAACGATGAATCCCCCAAAACCAATGCCAAGGCACATTATATCGGGTCTATTAATAATTAATGTCGTTTTTAAACATTCGTTTAAAATCTTGCTTGGCGTTGACTTGTATTGACATAACCTTCAAACACGTGGTATCTACAGAACGTGTGAAGTGCAATTAACAAGTTTTGCTTGAAAAAGTTTGTGTTTGGTTTGGTTTTTGTTGCAAAACTAGGGCTAAGAAGATGGCGGATGAAGAGCATATTCGGCACTGCATGCTTTACGAGTTCCAATTAGGAAGAAAAGCAAGTGAGGCTGCAAAAAACATCTGTGCTCTTGGTCAAGATGCAGTTAGCGCCAAAAAATGCCAGCGTTGGTTTGAGAAATTTCGCGAGGGAAATTTTTCGTTAGATGACAAGAATGGTCGAGGCCGTGTGTCCAATTTTGATCAAGAAGCTCTTCAAGCTCTTTTGGTGCAAAATCCTCAAATTACCCAACAAGAGCTTGTGACAACTTTAAATTGTTCACAAAAAACAATTTCCAATCAATTGCGTGCACTTGGCAAAGTCCAAAAGTTTGGAAAATGGGTTCCTCATGAGTTGACCGACAACAACCGTAATCAAAGTCACAATTTGCAGTTCGCTCCTCTCTCGTCAAAACCGTTTGCCGTTTTTAGAGCAAATTGTTACCGGAGATGAAGAATGGGTGCTGTATGTTAATTTGAAAAGGCGGCCTCAATGGTTGGACAAAAATGAGGCTCCGCAGCCCACGCCAAAACCTGACTTGCATGGGAAAAAAGTGATGTTGTGTGTTTGGTGGAATTTTAAAGGAATTCTTCATTATGAACTTTTACCATGTAACCAAACCATTACAAGTGCAGTGTATAGTGCCCAATTGGAAAGGTTAGCCCAAGCTTTAAGAGAAAAAGAACCCGTGCTGATTAATCAGAAGGGCGTAATTCTTCACCACGATAATGCACGACCGCATACTGCAAGAATCACTGCTGAAAAACTGCGCCAGTTGGAATGGGAAGTTCTCCCTCAACCTGCATATTCTCCTGATATTGCCCCTTCCGATTACCATTTGTTTCGTTCTTTGCAAAACTTTCTTCTTGGAAAAAAATTTAATGAAGAATGCCTCAAAAATGCATTGACTGAATTTTTTGCATCAAAATCACAAGAATTTTACAACAGAGGGATTAAAATGCTTCCTGAGCGTTGGGCACAAGTAGTAGAAAACAACGGCAACTATATTGTTGATTAAATTTTGTTGTATTGTTTAAATAAATTCGATTTAAAAAAAGTATTAGAAAACGACATTAATTATTACTAGACCTAATAATTAAATTGGCAAACACCCGACGACAAAGAATCTTAAAATCGGCCAGAGAGAGACAAAAAGTTACATACAGATAATTTGCCCTGCCTTGGAATGTCCCCGCAGCAACGTCCCCCTACAGCCTGTGTATATATATATTGCAGCTTCAACAATAAAATTTGGGGCTTGATCAGAAAAAAAAAAAAAAAAAAAAAAAAAAAAGTTACATACAAAGGATCCCCTATCAGACTAGCGACTGATAACTCAACAGAAACACATCAGGCCAGAAGGGAGTGGATTGAAATATACAAAGTCATGCAAAGGAAGGGTCTGAATCCAAGAATACTGTACCCAGCAAGGATATCAATCAAAATTGAGGGTGAAATCAGCCGAAACCGGTTTGGCTCAGTGGATAGAGCGTCGGCCTGCGGACTGAGGGGTCCCAGGTTCGATTCCGGTCAAGGGCACATACCTTGGTTGCGGGCACATTCCCAGTGTGGGGTGAGCAGGAGGCAGCTGGTCGATGTTTCTCTCTCATCGACGTTTCTAACCCTCTATCCCTCTCAATTCATCTCTGTGTAAAATCAATAAAATATATATATAAAAAAAATTCAGGGTGAAATCAGGAGCTTCACAGACAAAAAAGGACTGAGGGAGTTTATTACCACCAAACCAGCAATACAAGAAATGCTAAAGGGTTTGCTGTAAAAAGAAATAGGAAGCAAAGAAGGAACACGGGTAAAGAATAAAAATGGCAACAAGTACCTATTAATAATAACTTTAAATGTAAGTGGATAAAATGCCCCAATCAAAAGATATAGGGTAACTGAGTAGATAAGAAAACATGACTCATATCTGCTGTCTGCAGGAAACCCATCTCAGAAAAAAAGGCGCACACAGACTGAGGGTGAAGAGATGGAAAAAAGTCTTTCAGGCGAATGGAAAATGAAAACAAAGCAGGAGTAGCAACACTTATATCTGACAAATTAGATCTCAAAGTGAAGGACATAAAAAGAGATAAGAAAGGCCACTTCATAATATGAAAGGGAGCAATCCAACAGGAAGAAATAACTCTGGTAAATATATATGCACCCAATACAGGAGCACCCAAATACATTAAAAAAAAAGTCCTGGAGTATATCAAGGGAGAGATTGACAGCAATACAATCATAGTAGGAGACTTTAATACCCCACAATCACCATTGGACAAATCTTTTTTTTCTTCTTCATAGTTTATTTATTTTTTTCATAGTTTATTTATTTATTTATTTTAATATATTTTATTGATTATTTTTGCCCCCTCCCTCCCTCCCTCCCATACCCTCCCTCCCCAGAGTTTTATGTCCATTGGTTGTACTTATATGCATGTATAAAAGTCCTTCGGTTGATCTATTATCTCCCCCAGATCTTCCTCCCCTCCCCGCTGTAATTTGACAGTCTGCCTGTTGCTTTACTGTCTCTATATCTGTCTCTTGGTTCATCAATTTATAATGTTCTTTATCATCCACAAATGAGTGAGGTCATGTGGTGTTTCTCCTTCATTGATTGGCTTATTTCACTCAGCATGATGTTCTCCAATTCCATCCAGGTTGCTGCAAATGATGAGAATTCCTTCTTTTTTATGGCAGCATAGTATTCCATTGTGTAGATGTACCATATTTTGGATCCAATCATCTGCTGACGGGCACCTAGGCTGTTTCCAAATTCTGGCTATTGTAGATTGTGCTACTATGAACATAGTGGACAAATCTTCTAAACAAAAAGTCAGCAAAGAAACATCAATCCTAAATGACTCACTAGACCAGATGGAATTGACATCTTCAGAACATTTCACCCCAATGCCACAGAATATACATTCTTCTCAAGTGCACATGGGTCATTTTCAAAGATCATATATTGGATCACATGCAAAGTCTCTTCAAATTCAAGAAGATAGAAATCATATCGAGCATCTTCTCAGATCACAATGGCATAAAACTGGAAATAAACTATTATTAAAAACAACCCCCAAAAATCAAACACATGGAGACTAAATAGCATGCTATTAAACAATGACTGGGTTACCAAAGAGATCAAAGAAGAAATAAAAATATCATGGCAACAAATGACAATGAAAACACAACAATCCAAAATCTATGGGACACAGCTAAAGCAGTCTTGAGACTGCTCTACAAGCTCTACAAGCTTACTGCAGAAAGCAAGAAAAAATGGTAATAAATTAACTAAACCTACAACTCAAAGAGTTAGAAAGAGAGCAACAAGAAAAAAACCAGTATAAGCAAAAGGAAGGAAATAATAAAGATCAGAGCAGAGAGAAACGACAGAGACAAAAAAAAAGAAAAAGAAAAAAAAGATCAACAAAACCAAGAGCTGGTTCTTTGAAAGGATAAGAAAGACTGATAAACCTCTAGCCAGGCTCACCAAGAAGCAAAGAGAGAGGACCCAAATAAAATCAGAAATGAAAGAGGAGAAATAACAACAGACCCCACAGCAATACAAACGATTGTTAAAAATACTATGAACAACTCTATTCCAGCAAACTGGATAACTTGGAGGAAATGGACATATTCCTAGAAAAATACAACCTTTCAAAACTTAATCTGGAAGAATCTAACCATCTCAATAGGCCAATAACTATGGAAGAAATTGAAGCAGTCATCAAAAAGCTTCCAGCAAACAAAAGCCTGGGGCCAGATGGCTTCAGAGGAGAGTTTTACCAAACATTCAAGGAAGAACTAAAACCTATCCTCCTCAGACTTTTCCAAAAAATTCAAGAGGAAGAAACACTTCTAAGCTTATTCTATGAAGCTAGCATCATCCTAATACCAACACCAGATAAAAGCAACACAATGAAAGAGAATTACAGGCCAATATCCCTCGTGAACATAGATGCATAAATCCTCAACAAAATTCTAGCAAATCGGATCCAGCAGTACATCAGAAAGATCATACACCATGACTAAGTAGGATTTATCCCAGGGATGCAAGGATGGTATAATATCTGCAAATCAATAAATGTGATACATCACATAAACAAATTGAGAGATAAAAATCACATAATCATATCAATTGATTCAGAAAAAGCATTTGACGCCGAAATCGGTTTGGCTCAGTGGACGGAGTGTTAGCCTGCGGACTGAAGGGTCCCAAGTTCGATTCCGATCAGTGGCATGTGCCTTGGTTTTGGGCACATTCCCAGTAGGGGGTGTGCAGGAGGCAGCTGATTGATGTTTCTCTCTCATCAATGTTTCTGACTCTATCTTTATCCATTCCTCTCTGTAAAAAATCAAAAAACATTTAAAAGAAAAAAGAAAAAGCATTTGACAAAATCCAATACCCTTTCTTGATAAAAACTCTCAGCAAGGTTGGAATAGAAGGATCATACCTCAACATAATAAAAGCCATATATGATAAACCCACAGCCAATAACATACTCAATGGGCAAAAACTAAAACCATTTTACCTAAGAACAGGAACACGATAGGGTTGCCCACTCTCACCACTCCTGTTTGACAGGGCTGGAAGTATTAGCCCTTGTAATTAGATAAGAAATAAAAGGCATCCAAATTGGAAAAGAAGAAGTAAAGCTGTCCTTATTTGCAGGTGACATGATACTGTACATAAAAAAACCCTAAAGACTCCATAAAAAAACTAATAGACTTAATAAATGAATTTGGCAATGTAGCAGAATACAAAATTAACACCAAGAAATCTATGGTCTTTCTATACACCAATAGTGAACTTACAGAAAGACTAAAAAAGCAATCCCATTTACCATTACACAAACAAAATTAAGATACCTAGGAATAAAGTTAAGGAGGTAAAAGACCTATCCATGGAAAACTATAGGACACTGAAAAAAGAGATAGAGAAAGATGTAAACAGATGGAAGAACATACATGTTCATGGATTGATAGAATCAACATCATTAAAATGTCCATACTATCCAAAGTAATCTATAGATTCAATGTATTCCTCATTAAAATACCAACAGCGTATTTCACAGACCTAGAAAGAACTCTCCAAAAATTCATCTGGAATAAAAAAAAGACGCCAAATAGCCACAGCAATCCTGAGAAAGAAGAATAAAGTAGGAGGGATCTCAATACCAAATTTCAAGCTGTATTACAAAGCCACTGTTCTCAAAACAGCCTGCTACTGGCATAAGAACAGACATGGACCAATGGAATAGAGATCCCAGATATTGACTCAAAACACTATGCTCAATTAATATTTGACAAAGGAGCCATGAACATAAAATAGAATCAAGACAGTCTCTTCAACAAATGGTGTTGGGAAAATAGGACAGATACATGCAAAAAAAAAAAATGAAATTAGACCACCATACACAAAAATAAACTCAAGCCAAAACGGGTTTGGCTCAGTGGATAGAGTGTCGGCCTGCGGACTGAAGGGTCCCGGGTTCGATTCCGGTCAAGGGCATGTACCTGGGTTGTGGGCACATCCCCGGTGGGGGATGTGTAGGAAGCAGCTGATCGATGGTTCTCTCTCATAGATGTTTCTAAGTATCCCTCTCTCTTCCTCTCTGTAAAAAATCAATAAAATATATATTAAAAAAAACCCCTCAAAATGGATGAAGGACTTAAACATATAATGGGAAACCATACACATACTAAAGGAATCCATAGGCAGCAAAATCTCAGACATATGCTAAAGCAATTTCTTCAGATATCACTCCTAGGGCAATGGGAACTAAAGAGAAAATAAACAAATGGGACTACATAAAAATAAAAAGCTTTTTTTTATAGCAAAAGAAACCATCAACAAATCAATAAGAAAGCCCACTGTATGAGAGAACATTATTTGCAAATGTTATCACTGATAAAGGTTTAATTTCCAATATTTATAGGGAACTCATACAACTTAATAAAAGGAAGATAAATGATCCAATAAAAAAAATGGACAATAGACCTAAATAGAAACTTTTCAAAAGAAGAGGGAAGGCTAAGAGACATATGAAAACATGCTCTAAGTCACTAATTATCCGAGAGATGCAAATCAAAACGACAATGCGGTACCATCTCACACTTGTCAGATGGCTAGCATCAACAAATCAACAAATGACAAGTGTTGGCGAGGATGTGGATAAGAAGGAACCCCCATGCACTGCTGGTGGGAATGCAGGCTGATGCAGCCACTGTGGAGAACAGTATAGAGTTTCCTCAAAAAACTAAAAATGGAACTCTCATTTGACCCAGAATCCCACTTATAGGACTATATCCTAAGAAACGAGAAACACCAATCAGAAAGGATATATGCACCACTATGTTCATAGCAGCACAATTCACCATAGCTAAGATTTGGAAACAGCGTAAGTGCCCATCAGCAGATGAGTGGATTAAAACCGGTGGCACATCTACACAATGGAATACTACGCTGCAGTAAAAAAGGAATTCTTACCATTTGCCACATCATGAATGGACCTGGAGAGCATTATGTTAAGTGAAATAAGCCAGGCAATGAAAGAAAAACACCACATGATCTCACTCATTTATGGAAAATAAAGAACATTATAACCTGATGAACAAAAAGATAGAGGCGGTAAAGCACCAGACTGTCAAATTACAGAGGGAAGGCTGGGGAGGAAGGAAAGAGATCAACCAAAAAGGACTTGTATGCATGCATATAAGCACACCAATGGACACAAGACACTGGAGGTAGGGGTGATAAGAGGGCATGAGACAGGGGTTAAGGGTGGCTGGGGGAAGTTCAATGGGGATAAAACTATATGTAACAAAAGTGACATTATCCAAAATAAAAGATTCCACATATGAGTGAGATCACATAGGGTTTGTCTTTCTCTTACTGGCTTATTTTGCTTAGCATAACGCTCTCCAGGTCCCTCCATGCTGTTCCAAAGGATAAGACTTCATTCCTTTTTATAGCAGCATAGTGTTCCATTTTGTAGATGCACCACAGCCTTTTAATCCACTCATGTGCTGATGGGCACTTACTCTTTCCAGATTTTGGCTATTGTAAATAACACTGCTATGAACATAAGGGTACATACATTCTTTCTGATTGCTATTTTAGGATTCTTAGCATATCTTTTCTGAAGTGGGATCACTGGGTCATAAGGCAATGCCATTTTAAAAACTGAGTAAACTCCATACTGTTTGTTCCACAGCGGCTGCATCAGTATGTATTCCCACCAGCAGTGTATCACAGTTCCCTTTTCTCCACATCCTTGCCAGCAATTGTTTATTGATAGTAGCCATTCTGACAGGTTTGAGGTAATACATCTTTGTAGTTTTAATTTGCACCTTTTTAATGACTAGTGATGTGTTAAGCATTTTTTTCGTATGTCTATTGGCCTCTGTATGTCTTCTGTGGAGAAGTGTCTATTCAAGTCCTTTGCCCATTTTTAAAAATTGGATTGTCTTCCTGGTGTTGACTTAAAATAGTTCTTTATAGCCAAGACCGGTTTGGCTCAGTGGCTAGAGCATCGGCCTGCGGATTGAAAGGTTCCGGGTTCGATTCCGGGCAAGGGCATGTACCTTGGTTGCAGGCACATCCCCAATAGGGGGTGTGCAAGAGGCAACTGATCGATGATTCTCTCTCATTGATGTTTCTAACTCTCTATCCCTCTCTCTTCCTCTGTGAAAAATCAATAAAATATATTAAAAAAATAAAATAAAATAGTTCTTTATATATTTTAGAGATTGACCCCTTATCAGATGAGTCACTGGTAGATGTGTTCTTCCATATCATGGTTTCCCTTTTTGTTTTGTTGGTTTCTTTTGCTGTGCAGAAGCTATTTAGTTTGTAGTCCCATTTAATTTTCCATGTATTTCCTTTGCTTTCAGACGTATTGGCAAAAATATTGCTGAGAGATGTCTGAGATTTTACCTTCTATGTTTTCTTCTAGGATTTTTATGGTTTTGACGTGTTTCTTTTATCCATTTTGAGTTTATTCTTGTGTATGGTGGTCTAGTTGCATTTTTTTGCACATATTTTCCCAACACCATTTATTGAAGAGACTGTTTTTGCTTCATTGAATGTTCTTGCCTCCTGCCGGGACCTGTTTGGCTCAGTGAATAGAGCGTCGGCCTTTGGACTGAAAGGTCCCAGGTTCAATTCCGGTTGAGGGCATGTACCTTGGTTGCGGGCACATCCCCAGTAGGGGGTGTGCAAGAGGCAGCTGATCGATGATTCTCTCTCTATCCCTCTCTATGTTTCTAACTCTCTATCCCTCTCTCTTCCTCTCTGTGAAAAATCAATAAAATATATTAAAAAAAAAAAAAGAATGTTCTTGCCTCCTTTGTCACATATTAATTTATCATAAAAGCGTGGGTTGATTTCTAGGCGCTCTGTCCTGTTCATTGGTCTGTATGCATTCTTGTACCAGTAATATGCTGTTTTGATTACAGTGGGTTGTAGTATAGCTTGCTATCCAGTATTGTGATCCCTGCAACATGTTAATTTTGATATAATTCAATTTATGTTTTTACTTTTGATGCCCTAGGAAATCATTGCCTAACCCAAGGTTACAAAGATTGGTCCTATTTTCCCCCCTAAGAATCTTAAGACTCTGAGCTCTTATATTTAGATCAATTTTGAGTTCATTTTTGTGTATGGTCTGATTTAGGGAGTCTAACTCTATTCTTTCACATATGGATAGCAAGTTGTCCAAGTACCATTTGTTGAAAAAAATTATTCTTTCTCCAATGAATGTACTTAGGAACCTTGTTGAAAATCAATTAGTCATAAATGTAATGGCTTATTTCTGGATAGTCAATTCTGTCCCATTGCCAATCCATATGCACTGTGTTGATTACTGCAATCCAGGAGCATGAGTGCTTTGTTCTTTTCCAGCATGTTTTTGCTTTTTGGATCCTCTTATATTTCCATATGAATCTTAGGATCAGCCGATCAACTTCTGCAAAAGCAGCTGGGATTTTGATAGGGATTAGATTAAATTAGGGAATATTGCCATTCTAACAATAATTCTGTCTTTGAATCCATGAATATGAAATGCCTTTCCATTTATTTAACTCTTTCTTTAATGTTTTCTTGTTTTCAGTGTACAAGTCTTACACTTGTAATTTCATTTTGATTGTTCATTACTAGTGTATAGAAACATATTTTTTTGTGTATGAATCTTGTATCCTAAAAACTTGAACATGTGAAATGATTTTTATATGAAATCTAATTTGCATCTGTCTCTCCATTAAACAAAACCTCATTCACAGCATGCAAAGGTGATGCAAAAATAGTTTATTATGATAGAGTTTATGTAAAGTTAGGTGGTATTTACAAAATAGAAATGACCAGCTATATCCATAGGAATCTAGCATGTCACACAAAGGAATAAATATTTTGACAAAGTAATACTTCAGTTGTAGTGAAAGTTGATCAGAGACTTTTTTTTAAAGCCTCAAACTAAACCATAACAATTGTCAAAACAGAGCAGCCTCCCTGGCCAGGCTCCTCTTCCGGACGCACAGCCTGAGGGCGAAGCCTGGGCGCCTGCCTCTGCTGAGGCTCCGGAGGAGTCTCCGGGTCACCTGGCTGCTGGGCCTGCCTCTTCGCCTGTGACGTTAGTCGGGTGAACATTATCGTTTAGTGTTAGTACAGAAATTAAACACCAGTTAAAACACACAGTTTGTTCTTTAAACAGGTATCACCTAACTGCTGAAATAATTAGCGGCGACAAAAGTGGCTGCTGGGATTTATCTCCAAACTCCTCTTAGCAGAAAAACTACGTGCAGTTTTCACTGTCTGTGTGTCCGTCTCCCAGCAGTTTAGTATAGTGTTTTTGTCTTTAGTAGCTGAACTGAGACATTTACCCTGATAGAAAAATCACTGATTATAATTTGTTCAGGAACCACTTAGAAACTTTACATTTTATAAATATTACTTAGGAAAACCATATGAATTCTTATCACTTAGCCAGTTTGAATCCTAATAAAAAGTCAGTAGATATGTTGTAAATACTAAAGGTAAATCCTAAAATCCATTTTAATTGAAGTTTTGTGATATAAACATAACAATAATTTAGTGTTCTTCTTACTCTATTCCTAGCTCTCTATAAAATAAAATTGAAATATGTGATATAACTAGTTGTAAAGGGGGAAAGAGCAAAGGGCATGGGAACCGTGAAGCAGCAGCCGGCTGGGTCTGGTGGTCCTTCGCTGCGCACTCAGCCACCCACAGGCCCCGCAGGCTGCAACGGGAGACCAGCTGTGTTTCCCGGAGACTTCCAGCACTCTCCTGCGTCGGACCATCCCATCCTAAGTGTCCTGTGCCTCACTGCTCTCCTACCCATTGACAGACGTGCACTACCGAACGCCAGCATTGTGGGCTTGCACCCTCCTACGCAGCCCGAGAGCTGGGGAAAGCCGGGCCCTCGGCGGGACTCCGCACGCAGCCTGTGTGCAGAGCCCACGGCCAGGGCTGCCCCACAGGTCTGAGTTACTGCATAGCGGGATCTGGTCAACATGGAACTACCATGCTCTCTATTCCCTTGATTTTCCTCCAGGGTTTTAAATAGCTCTACCAAGGACAAATTAGAGTGTTGTTGTTGTTTTTTAAATGAAAAACAATGTTTGGATGCAGGGTTATCATTACTGTAGATACTGTATACAGCCTTTAAAATTACTTGTTCAATGACCAAAGCTTTGAGAAAGTCATTGAAAGCATTTCCTTTTAATGTCGGGTGGGGTTCATTGCTGTCCGAAGTTGTTCTCGCTCTCTTCAAGTGTGATGTTGCTTAGTTGTACACAGACATCCCTTTTTGTCACCAAAATTCCTACAGAAACTTCTGATTAGTATTTACACTGCTTGCTCTGAATAATGTACAGGTGATTTTGAAGACAAATACAGCTGCTTTAGTCAAGGGGACTGGAGCCAGCGTAGGTCATCACAGTCCTGCCTGAGCACCTGCAGGAGAGGGCTCAGAGGGCCCCCGGGGTGGGCCTGTGGAGCTAATGCTTCTGCTTTCTGTTGGAGACTTCAGGGAAGACAGGCCTCTGCACTTTACAGAGAGGCAAGAAGACGTGAAACTTAGGTCTCAAAAGGCACAGAGTGGGGCCCGTTTTCCCCAGAAGGCAGAACGTGAGAGAAATCGACAGTGTGCGTTTCCACACTGAATTTATGTCCAGTTTCCTATGAGAGAATGTCTTATGTCCACCTTCTTTTTAAAATTTGAAAATACTTAAAGTTCCCTTCTCCTTCCTTTGGTGATAAAGGGATGTCAAAGAACCCTGTTTTTTGAAATTGTGACTATAAAGGGAAATGTTAAATTCTAAGGCTCCTTAGGACAACGATGAACAAATTTTATTTTCAGGAAAAATAAATGTTGATGGGCTGCATTCTTTTCACTGTAACTGAAGACAGCTTTGGATCCCTGCAGAGCTGGCTCAGACTCCGACACCCGGGGAGGGCAGGTGGAGGGGTGGTTAGCCATGAAGGCGTCACGCAGGCCTCAGCAGGCAGGGGACAGGCCGCAGGCCCTGCTGTAAGCTGCGAGGCCCAGAGGCCTGGGCTCAGGACCAGTGTTGCCAGCAACGAGGGAGAAGAGAAGCCTTCCTCAGAGAAGCGCACTGCCTGCCACACCTGGTGCCACAGCGCGTCCTCGCTGTGCCCTCCGCCCCGCCCGGGGGACTCTACCAGACTTGCTGACGGCCCCCTGGCAGCAGGGAGGCCAGCGGAGCCTCTGTGGTGGGGAGGGTGGGAAAGGCACCTCCATGCTAAGTGCTTTCTGCCAATTCTGGTCCTGGCCTTCCTTGTCAGCATTTCCTTCAGGCAGAGACTAAGAAGCACACTGTGCTTTTAAAAATCTGCAGCCCTCCTCCTGGGTGTGGCCTGCGCCGGCCCCAGTACCCGTCAGTGAGCGAGGGACGGGGTCTGGGTGCTGCGGTGTGATAACTTCCTGGTTCTCCTAGCTTCCCAGTTGCTGGATCATGAGGGGCCTCTGACCTTAGCTGCTGACAAACCACAAGTTCCCACATGGCCGCTGCCAGTCACTCAAGGACTGCCACCACTTCCTGCACAAATTCTACTTCATTCCTGCCGCCTTGGTGCCCACGCTCAGTTCCTAGTGGCAGAGTGCTCTCTGCCGCCTCAGCCCCACCGCTGCCAGGAGGCTGCAGGCACCGGCCCGCCACACAGGCCAGGCTGGAGGGCCGCTGCACGTGCTCCTGTAGTTAACGTGAGTGCCGCACTTTCCCACCGACAGACAGCAGGGGAGGTGCACACGGCCAGGAGAGACAGCCTGAGGAGCTGGCCCGGGAGAGGGGACACTCCCGCTTGGTTCATGCTGGGATTAGGAGCCCAGAGCAGCGGGTCCCCTATTCCCCCTGCCACAGCCCTGCAGACCTGCCTCCACGCCGCGCTCTGCTCAGGGGCTACGTGGCTGAACCCTTCTGGGGCTGGGCCTGCAGGGAGCACGTGGAGGACGCTGCACGGCGGGCGTTTTGTTCCGCCCTGCGTGCTCTCAGGTGGAGGGCAGGCTGAGCAGCAGGAGGCTCGCACCTGGCTCAGCCTGCCCGCAGCTGTCACTATGGACGGACCCTCAGCGAGGCCAAGACAGCTCGCGCTCTCGGGGGAGGCTGCAGCGGAACCAGCCGTGTGAAGGAGGCCTTCTCAGCCAGCTGAGCATCCCGGCCTGGTTTCTGGTAATCCCAGCTCGGACCATGCCCTGGAGAGCGAGTGGCTGAGCAGGAAGGTCCGTTTCAGAGGCTGCAGGACCAGAGGTGTTCCCTGGCCTCTGCCTTTGACTCCCAAATGCTGCACTCAACACAGTTGCTTCCCAGGATTCCTGAGACCTAACCTTAAGGGACGAGGACCTCTTCCCAAGCACCAGACGGCAGACCCTCCAGCGCAGCTGGAGGCAGATGGCGCGGGACTCCATGCGTGGCCTGCCCAGACCTCAGGGGCGAGTCCTCCGAAGGAAGGCCGCGAGGCCACAGTGCCCAGCCTGCAGAGCCAGGCCGAGGTCCCGTCACTGCACTAGAGGATGTGCAGCACACGAGTCCCCACAGTCTGTGTGCTCCAGGAATCCTGCGCGTGACAAAGAAAGCCACAGTGCTCTATAAAAACAGTCTGCGTGCCCAGGAGTGTCGGTAAGTAGGATAGGAAACAGCTGACATTCTCTTGCTTTTAAAAACGTGGAACAGTAGCAAGAGAGCGACAGGTTTGGGTTAAGACTCTTAAAACTGGAGAGCAGGGCAGACCCATGCCAGCAGAGCTCCGAGTCTCTCCTGCAAGAAGACAGCACACGAGGGCTCCTGCCAGGCCTTCTCAGGACTCTTCCCAGATGACCTTGTCCACGCACTTAATCTAGAAACCGAGCAAGATGATCCTTCAATTTACCCCCAAGCCTCTGCACCCAGAGACCATCAGCCCAGCTCGAGCATTGAGAGAGTGAAAGCAGGCTCTTGGCATCCAATCCCGGGCCTGAGGCGGTGCCTCGCTCCACCCAGCGCCCCCCCTGCTCCTAAGGCAGCGGTGGTCCCACCTGGTTTTATCTCCTTATCGCAGGGCTAATGGTTTTCATGGGTCTGTAGCAGAAACTCCAGCCTACGATCTTTTCAAGAAGTGCTGTACAGCAGCGGGCACCAAGCGGTGGTCCGAGGACCACTGGGGCCCGGGAGGCACGAAAGGTTGGCGCCTGCTGCTGTCGAGTGTTTTGGGGTGGTTAAAGGCCTTACTCATTGCAAAAGCAGAACTATTAGTAAAGGGTTACTCTAGGCTCTCTAAATGCTAAAAGGGAACTCTTCAGACCTCCTTAATTAAATTAGAGATAAGAACACAAAATGGGCAATTTTCAGCTGATTTGACACCCTCCACACTTTCTTCCTGACTTAACATAGGGGTCTTCTCTCAGCCTTCTCCAGAGCAATGTGAGGTTTTCAGAGGGAATTCATTATTATTTGCAACTGCAGTCTGAAACCTCAGGCCACAGGTCCACAAGCCAACTAATATGAGAAGACAGGGTGACTGGTGACTAAGGAAAGAGTGAGTGTAGGAAGGAATGAGAGGGTGGGGTTTTTGTGCCAGATTTAATAAAAAACAAACAAAACCAGGAGAAGCTGTTCCGACATTTTCAAGGTTGTGAAAAGTTTCCCACAAACACCTGGGCTGTGGTTCTGAGCTGCATCCGTGGGACAGACCCAAATGCTGACCTCCTCCCAAGCTCAAAGGCGGGCCCAGGCCACCCCAGCTCTCCTGCTGTGCTCCAGGCCAAACCACAGCCGTGCTGTCCCCGCAGGCATTCCGTGTGCGGCAGAGCGGGCCAGCGCCGTGCGCTCAGCTCCGAGGCAGAGCTAGCTTATCTGTCGGCTGCCGGGCTTTAATACTGACATGAGGGAGGGAGGCGGGCCACAGTGGGAAGGATTCCAACAGAGCCAGCTGAAGCCCTCTTGTCCCCTCGGCTTACTGTAGATCACCGTGGAAACAAGCTTGGATAAAGACAACAGAAAGTTCCATCAACACAGCAGGGAATGGCGTGAACAACCCATAAACCTGTCTCTCATGCATCCATACCCACAGTTAACAATGACAATGACAATAATAATAATAATAAAAAATAAAGGTACAGACGGAAAGTAGCATTTGGGTTGTGCAGCCACAAGCTGGGAAGGGTGTGTGTTCAAAGTGAACGGACAGTCAGTCTTTCTTCAAGTCCCTGGATTCAAAGAGCTTCAGGCGTTCCTGCACCGTCAGGCCTTCCTTCAGACTCTGGTGGAGAGCAGGAGAAAAGAGTTAAACGCAGACCCGTGCTGGCAGCAGCCAGGCGGGCAGGGGGAGGGCTCCTCAGAGATTAGTGGGCATGCTAAGGAGAGCCCGGCTCCTGTGAGATGGTGTTATCTGGATGAGAAAGGGAAAAATCAGAAAAACAAGTCCATGAGCAGAGAAGATGAATTCTGAGCGGAGGGCTCTTTAGAGAAGCAGCAATCAGACCGGTTCAGCCAGGAAAAGATGGTGCCAAGAACTAGAAAACCACCCGTGCCCACCCTCTCCTGGCTGTGCACCTGCCCACGTCTACCGCGCCTCCTGCAGGACGGCCGGAGCCCCTGAGCACTGGGAGCAGCTCCTCGCCCTCCCTGATGGGAACCAGCTGCATCCTCTCCTGAGCCTCGGGAATATGTCCCATAGCTACGGAGATTTTCCAATGTACAAGCGGTCCTGGTCTGTGGGACCCTGGGAGAGTGCCCATCTGTGTGGCCCAATGTGAGTGACGCCACTCTTGGAGGCTTTCCCGAAAGCTTTGATTTCTGGGTGAGAGAAAGGATGCAATTCCAGCCCTGGCAGGGATGGGCAGAGCTCCTCAGTTGCCCTCTGATCTTCACACAACCTCATCAGACAGAGCTGCCCGTTGCCCCGCCCTGGCCAGAGGAGACCAGGTGGCCGGAGCGGGGGCACGGGTCCTGGAGTCCAGCCTGAGGCTTCAGAGGGGTGGTGAGAGAATCTGGGGGCTCAGCTTCCTCCAGAGTCTGAGGGGGTAAGTGGACCCTGCTGTCCCCTCAGTTTCCCCAGAACAGCTCTTTTGCTGTTTACCCAGTGGAGGTATGTGTGTGTAAATGAATACATTTTCTTTTAAGTAAAGGGTGCGACTGCTAACCTTTCTGAACTCACTGTCCTGATGGACCTCTGCGTAAGCAGTTGGCGAGGGTCCCTGAAGCTGGCCCCTGAGCAGGGCAGATGGTGAGGACTGACCACATCCCACCCCCCTAGGCTTCCCGCTCTCGAGTCTCTTCTCCCAAGTTAGGAGCCGCTGTGCACAGCGCCGGTCTCAGGGGGGCACTGTGCCAGCCACAGGCTCTGCCCCCGCTAGGACTCTCCCATGAGGCAGCAGTGTTAGGGACAGGAAGGCAGGGAGCAGTGGCATGACGGGCAGCCGGAGGCTACAACAGGCCCAAGGCCATGCACTGTGCACATTCCAGCTGTTAAAGGCACGTCCCAACCCCAGAGGAAGGCCCTCGGGGTGTAACCGGCTCCCTTGGGGCTCATTCCTCCCACAGGGACACTCCCATGGCACCACACTGACCACCAGACCGTCTCCACGAGGCCCCGGGGAACGCGCTTTCTGGCTGCAATCCCAGAAAAGCTAGGCTGTTCTTAAGCAACAAGTTTGCTCTGACGTGACGGTGCTGAGACTGTCTACACTTCTGTATGAGGGACGAGGTAGAAACAGCATAAATGAAAGACATGAGTCCACACACGTCAGATCCTGCGTCAAAAGCACCAGCGACAGCCGAAACCAGTTTGGCTCAGTGGTAGAGCGTCGGTCTGCGGACTGAAAGGTCTCAGGTTCGATTCCGGTCAAGGGCATGTACATTGGTTGCGGGCACATCCCCGGTAGGGGATGTTCAGGAGGCAGCTGGTCGATGTTTCTAACCTTCTATCCCTCTCCCTTCCTCTCTGTAAAAAATCAGTAAAATATATTAAAAATAAATAAATAAAAGCACCAGCGGCAGATGGGAGTTTCTAGGTCAGGTCGTTCCCGTGGAGGGCGGTGTCTGCAGGTGCAGCGGCGGGAGCCGAGGAGGAGCAGCACGCCCTCGTGCCGGGACCACAGGAGTCCGCAAGGACCCCCGCAGCCCCTTTCCTCTTGGCAGCAGGACTGCCGCCACACAGGGCCTGCTTCCTGCCTGAAAGCACGGCCGAGCCCCCGGGGGCTCAGATGGGCTCTGGGAGCCTAAAGCTAGCTCCTGGCCAGCCTGACAGGCTCCCGTGTTCCCTGCTCCACAGGCCTGTGGACAGATGCCTTGGCAGTGACTTTCTGGCCTTCTATTCAAAGCCCGGGGCTCCCCACCCCACCCACCTGACAGTGGGCACAGGACGCACGCTTCCCCGGAAGGCTGGCCGATTGCTGACAGGCGTGGGGGGGACCTAGCAGCTTCAGTTAAGCCTCAAATGAGTAGAATCTTCAGTAAGAAAACCATAAACCAAAGAACAAGTTTTCCTTTTGCTAAAAAACATTTTTCATGTTTAAATAAAAAAGCCCAAACTAAGTTTTCAATTAAGCCTAACCTGCATTTGGTCACATGACTGTAGGAGAATAAATAAAAGCAAAAGGAGTCTAAAATATTGGGTCGGCAGCTAAGTAATTGCGGGTTCACACACATATGGCTTCAGTTGAATTTTTAGGTTTGCAGACGTAGTACAAATGTAAAACACATTTTGTTATTTGGTAGTTGGCTATTCAGCTGTTAATCAGTGAAAAAAGTTTTTTGATCTGTTTTGTAGTTTTCGTTTGGCCTTCGTTGAAAAATGGAAAATCAAAAGGAACATTTTCGTCATATTTTGCTTTTTTATTTCCACAAGGGAAAAACGCATTGCAAGCTCATAAAAAGTTATGTGCTGTTTATGGTGACGAAGCCTTAAAAGAACAGCAGTGTCAAAATTGGTTTGCCAAATTTCGTTCTGGTGATTTTTCACTCAAAGATGAAAAACGCTCTGGTCGTCCAGTTGAAGTTGATGACGCCCTAATCAAAGCAATAATCAATTCGGACTGTCACAGTACAACACGTGAGATTGCAGAGAAGCTTCATGTATCACATACATGCATTGAAAATCACTTAAAATAACTTGGCTATGTTCAAAAACTCGATACATGGGTTCCTCATGAACTGAAAGAATCACAGTTAACGCAACGCATTAGCAGCTGCGATTTGCTAAAGAAACATAATGAAAATGATCCATTTTTAAAACGACTGATAACTGGCGATGAAAAATGGGTTGTTTACAATAATATCAAGCGGAAAAGATCATGGAGCAGGCCAGGTGAACCAACTCAAACAACATCAAAAGCTGATATTCATCAAAAGAAGGTTTTGTTATCAGTTTGGTGGGATTACAAAGGAATTGTCTACTTTGAACTCTTACCACCCAACCGAACGATCAATTCTGATGTCTACATTGAACAACTAAGGAAATTAAACAATGCAGTTGAAGAAAAGCGGCCCGAGTTGACAAATCGAAAAGGTGTTGTATTCCATCATGACAATGCAAGGCCACACACATCTTTGGTCACTCGGCAAAAATTAATGGAGCTTGGTTGGGATGTTTTGCCACATCCACCATATAGTCCTGACCTTGCACCATCTGATTACTTTTTGTTTCGATCTTTACAAAACTCCTTGAATGGTAAAAATTTCAATAATGATGATGATGTCAAATCGTACCTGATTCAGTTTTTTGCTAATAAAAACCAGAAGTTTTTTGAACGTGGGATTATGATGCTGCCTGAAAGATGGCAAAAGGTCATTGATCAAAATGGGCAATACATTACAGAATAAAGTTATTTAGTTACATGAAAAAATTGTCTTTGATTTTCTTTAAAAAATCCGCATGTACTTAGTTGCCGACCCAATACATGGTTTTCCAAAGCTTTTCCTAGGAGCAGCTCTTCCCCAGCCTGGGCCTGAGGCCACACCATTGTCCCCATGAGCCCGGCCGTGTACCACGTCTTCCTGCTGCCCGTGCCCTCCTCACTGGGGATTAAGAGGCCACACCAGCCAAGCCGCTGGCACACTGGATTAGGGCAAGGGGCATGTGCCTCCTGTGAAGACCGGGGTGCCCAGACCGGGCCCCACTGTCCTGGTCATTTCCAAGCAGACCGCTGTCTCCCGTCTCCCCACTTCCTTTCCGTACAGCGGTCTTCACAGAACCCGGGGAAAAGCTTTCGCTGTGCTAGAAAGTGTGCTGGTAGAGCACCCCAGTAACACGTGTTCCTCCTACTCTACTGAGCTGGGTCCCGCTCCACGTGCGACCAGCTCCCCCCACACCCCACCTGCGCCGTCTCAGCCTGGCCGTACGCTGAGGCGGCTCTGCAGCGCTGGGAGACTGCGTGGCAGTGGCTTTTGGGCAAGAGGGTTCTCCAGAGAGTGTGGAGCGCAGAGTACTCAACATGCATGCTGACCGGGCGCGAGCCCCCAGGGGGTTGGCTCTGTGGGCCGCTCGCCACACTGGGAGGGGAGCTCCATGCCGGGGTCAACTTTCTTATGAGGCTGTAGCGCCAGTTAACTCCCAGAACAGGTCAGAGACGCCCCTGAGCTGTGTGTGTGCTCGCTGCGGCAGAGGAATGACAGGCACAGGGAACAGGAGCTTGGTGTGGAGGTGTGAGCCGTGCATGCAGGCAGCGCCCGGAGGGCGGCGGGTGGGTGGATGCTTAGAGGCGGTTTACCTACATGACAAGGGACCTGGAAGCGGGCTCGTTTCAGTTATCCCATGAGACCTGCTCAATTACGGACTGTCAGAGGAAAGAGCAAACAATAAGACACACTCACAAACCCGAACGCCACATGCTCAACTCCCCCCCTGCCCGCCCTGCCCTGGAGAGGCGCCCAGGGCAGGGAGTGGACGCTGGGGACTGGCGGGCACTGTGAGGCTGGAGAGGCGCCCAGGGCAGGGAGTGGACGCTGGGGACGGGCGGGCACTGTGAGGCTGGAGAGGCGCCCAGGGCAGGGAGTGGATGCTGGGGACGGGCCGGCACTGTGAGGCTGGAGAGGCGCCCAGGGCAGGGAGTGGACGCTGGGGATGGGCGGGCACTGTGAGGCTGGGGGAGAGCACGAGGGCTTCCTCTCTCAAAGGCAGGCGGCATCGGCACTGAAGCAGGGGGTGCCAGATTGCAGACAGTGGGGCTGCGCAAGGAGCGGCGGGGGAATCTGGCCTGGGAGGTCTGAGGTGGGATTTACTCCCAGCCCAGGCCCTTTGACGGTCACTGTGGGAGTTGGCTCCACTGCCCCCCAAAGGGCACCCGAAGCCCGAAGCCACAGCCTGGCCCAGCAAGGGCCACAGGGGCTAGGCACGTGCTGGGACCCGGGACGCCCTGCTGCTGCCTGTAGTGGGCTTGGACTCCTGCTCCTCTTCCCAGCGTCTTGAGCCCCACACACCCAGGCTGGGTCCCAGACTCACCTTGGACCTGATGTTTCTGAGTTGCCGACTGACAGAGGATCTGTCCTTTTTCAAGAAGTCGGGGTTGCTTTTAGATTTCATTATATCTGAAGGAACAAGTAAACCCATTACTTTGTTTTCTAGAGCCCTCTGGAACCAGACTGGAGCTTTAAACATTTCCCAGGCTGAGCTCCAGCAGGTCTAGCCCAGTGGATAGAATGTTGACCTGCAAACTGAAGGGTCCTGGGTTCGATTCGGGTCAAGGACGTGTACCTCGGTTGCAGGCTCCCCCTGACCCCAGGCCCATGCAGGAGGCAACCAGTTGATGTGTTTCTCTGACATCAGTGCTTCTCTTTGTTTTTCCCTCTTTCTTCCACTCTCTCTAAAATGAAAAAACAGCCGGGACCGGTTTGGCTCAGTGGATAGAGCGTCGGCCTGCGGACTGAGAGGTCCCGGGTTTGATTCTGGTCAAGGACATGTACCTTGGTTGCGGGCACATCCTAGTGGGGGGTGTGCAGGAGGCAGCTGGTCGATGTTTCTCTCTCATCGACGTTTCTAACTCTCTGTCCCTCTCAATTCCTCTCTGTGTAAAATCAATAAAATATATTTTTTAAAAATGGAAAAACATCAAGTGAGGATTAAAAAAAAATTTCCCAGCATGGGCCTGACCGCAGGCGAAGCCATGCTGTGTGGGGTGGGCCGGCTCACCGCACTCTGGAGCGCCCCTGCCCCACAGAGCAGACCAACAGGCCCCATCAGTCACTCACCCGCCTCTCCTCTGAGACCCCAGGATCAATGCGTTCTCATAAGCCACCCCTCCAAGTAAGCGCCCCCAACAGTCTGGTGGACTGCTCTTTAGGTTTCCCAAAAATGACGACTTAAGCCATGGCCAGTGTTCCTTAGTGGTTAGAGCGTCACAGGTTTGATTCCTGGTTGGTGGCATGTACCTGGGTTGCAGGTTCAATCCTGGCCCTCGTTGTGTTACGTGCAGGAGACTACAATCAATGTGAGCGTAAGTCTGTTCGGGCCCTTTAAGAAGCATACAGGGACTGAACAGCTTCTATCTCATTCAGCCACCTTCCCCACTAGTTTCCAAGGCTGGAAAGTCTGAGGACTTCTCTTTCCAGCTCTGGGACCCTGGGTTGGGGAGCCTGGAGGGGCTGGGCCCGCTCACTCCTCAGGGGCACCTGCAAAACTGAGATGTCCCTTCAGATACTGGACTGCCATAAGTGGGCGGGGGTCCTGTTCCTCCTGCACCTCCGCCCTCCTACCAGTCTCAACCTGGCGTCCTTCTATCCTTATTTGCAGGCTTCTGTTCAGGTAGATCGCTGGTGGTTCTAGGTAATGGCTGTTCTGTAGTTTGTGATTTGGATGTGGTTGTGGGGAGGGAAGTCCACATTCACCTACACCCCCATCTTGGCAGAAGCTCCTTTACCTGATCTCTTTTAAGAAATGCGTTGCCTGCCTTCCTTCCTTTCAATAAATCTTTATTGTTCAGATTATTACAAATGTTCCTCTTTTCCCCCCTCCATTGTTTCCCCCCCTCTTTTTTTTCAATATATATATATATATATATTTTTTTTAATTGATTTCAGAGAGGGAGAGGTGAGAGAAAGAGAAAAACATCAACGATGAGAGAGAATCATGGATCGGCTGCCTCCTGCATTCCCCTCAATGGGGATTGAGCCCACAACCCAGACATGCACCCTTGGCTGGAATCAAATCTGGGACCCTTCAGTCTGCAGGCTGATGTTCTATCCACTGAGCCAAGCGGGCCAGGGCATGCACTGCATTTCATTGTGTTGTGATGTCATGGTTTGATGTCCTGTTTGATGACGAGAGAGGACCGTTATGGTGGAATCAGTGTTTGCTCCTGTGCAGTGCTAACTGCCCTTGCTGGCACATGCCCGTGCACTGGTTTTCTTCAGAAGTTAAAACTGGAAGGCCACAGAATGCACATACTCTCCCCAGTTCTAAATAGTCTGCTCTGTCTCCTGGCACCTGAGCTCCCCTGAGCAGCAGCCCAAAGTCAGCCTATAGTTCGATTTTAAATTTTGCCACATATTGCTTCACTGCCTTCCAGAAAGTGCTACCTTCCCCTCCCAGAAGCAATGCAAGCGACTTCTCTCCACCCATCCGTCCATGCTGCCACTACCGGAGTGCTGGGCGATGAGAGTTCAATCCCTTGTTGTCAGGGAGCCAGGACACCTTTTCATGCACCTTCCCACGGACCAGCAGCCCTCACGCTGCTCTGGGTAACGAAATAGAAGTCTGAGACCAGAAAAAGGAAAACCACTTCTCTGCTTTGACTGAAGTCCCAGGAACTCTGAACAAAGCCCCAAGCTGCGTGTCACACCCAAAGCAGGAGGCACTCACCGTATCCTGCCACAGGCGTGGTCTCGGGGGACTTGTCGCCCAGGGCTTCCGTGGCTGTCTTCAGCTGCTCTTTCAACCTGCTGATGTCGCAGTCGGCCTTTGCCCGCACGATGCTGAGCTCCGTGTAGATGTCCTTGTACTTGTCACTGGCGTACTTCTTATCCTTGAGGAGAAAAGGACAGAGCAAATGGTGGTGACAACCAGGCCCGAGGTCTGTCTCGCTGGGGCTGGAACACTTCTGGGGACTGACTGAGGGATGTCACTGGCAGAGGAGGAGGCAGCTGGACCCTACCTGGCTTTCCAAAGGCAGAAACTAGACACAGACTAAAACCGGCAGGGCCGAGACTCTCTCTGAACACAGCACAGGATCCCCGGGGCTGCTGCAGGTGCAGGCATGGTGCCGGCTGGCACAACCTAACCCCCAAGGACACTATAACTTCAGCCTGGGACTCCCCCTCCCCCCATCTTAGCTTTCCTAAGGCGTCCTGGCATCTCTTCTGATTCCAAGAATGGCCTGGCGGCTGACCCACTCTCACTGCCCAGGAAGACATCTCTCTTGGTCTCACCATCCCATAAAGCACTAAGAAGGCAGGGAGAACAAGGACACAGCAAGACCAGGTGGGCTCCTCATTTTAACAGCGCTTGTGTGAAGGCTGGTTTTTAAGAGAACTCGAATATCAAACCACATTCCTCACGAAAAGAAAATCTATTCTAGAACAGCCTAAGATACTTGCTGAGCACAGGGACCTCTGTGAGACCCTCATCCCTACACCTCCCCCACCCTCGCCTCCAGCCATTGTGCAGATCCAGCCCTTCGGTGGGGTGCCCGTACCCGCAGTGCTGTCTGCAGCTCATCCTTGAGGGAGCTGATCTCCTGTTTTAGGTACTGTATTTCTGACTCCTTGACTCGCAGTAGGACCTAGAATGAGAGGGCAATTAGGGACTGACATTCAGGAGCAAGAGGACTTCCATAGTCTCCCCTCCACACACTGAAGAGTAGACAATTTTCTTCTCATTCTCACCAATTTGCAATTGAAAATGCCAGCACAGAAGACTTAAACACTGAAACATACAGAAATAAAAGGAAGAAAAGAACTGCTGCGACTCCCTAACCCGTGGCCTCCTCCTCAGCCAGGGCCTCGCGTCTCCTGGGACCAAGCCTGGGAGGGGTCGGGAAGGGCCACGCTGGGACTTGTTGAACGCACTGCACTCTGCCTCTTCCACATCATTGGGTGGGAGATATTTTCATGATGAAATTTTAATTGAATGGGAAGAAATCTAAGTGCTTTCATAAAAGGATGTCTCATACATGAAACCAATCATTCCAGCTTAAGATGAACCTGGCTGACCTGAAAATCAAGCCGCCAGTGTTCACATAGTTATTAAAAGTCTCATTTCAGGTGGTCGCTGCTTGAGGTGTGGCAGAAACAGAGGGAGGAGGGAGGCCTGTAACCTCCCGGTCTCTCCAGGGTCTCCTCTTCTCCTCTGGGTCCCATGCTGCCTGGAAGCTCAGTTTCCTCCTGCTGTCCTGGGATTGGGGCCTTTCCGCATCTGTCCCTCCTGCGGCCTCCAGGACTCTGAGCAAAGCTATGGGCCACTCCTTGGTCCCCCCTCTTGGGGCTTCTGCGTACAGAGCAGTACCTCTAACTCATAGGCATCCTTGCCCTGCGTGAGAGGTGAGCCAGCAGCCTCCCCACCAGCGTCCCCCGTCAGCAGTGTCCGTAGCCGGGCGATCTCCGCAGCCAGGCGGTTGTTCAGCTCCTGGGGGACAGCGACAACAAAACAAAGGCGCTCAGCAGAGGTCCTGGGGGCTGCAGTCACACTGCACAACCAGAGAGGCTCTTCCCTCACAACCCTCGGCAGCAGGAGCAGTGCCTGCACGCCGACCGCATGTCAGAGCTAACACGTGCAGCTCCCGGCCGGTAACAGCTGTGAGTGTGGGCTCCGTGAGTGTCTCCCAGAGCGGTGCAGGCGGGGCTTCACGCCCCTGAACGCCTTTTTATCACTGTTGGCAGTGCACTCTGCTTCCTGGCTGGCCCATGTGTTTCTACAAGATCAGGCCCCCCTGCTCGTTTTCTGACTGAGTGAAACCAGCCCAGCTGGAGGGCCCTCTACGGGTGGCCCGGCCTGTGGAGGCCTGAGCCTGAGCCAGGCCAACACATGGCTGCTCCGTGCCTGGGGAGGTGAGTGGTGGGTCAGGAGGACAGAACCCCAATTTGGTCCTCAAAGAGCTTTTGTCACACTTAACCTACCTTAAGCCTGTCCACTGGCCAGGATTTTAAATGCACACCAATTTTCTGAGAAGCAGGCACATTTTGAGAATACATACTCTGACAAAAATAAATGTGAGCAGTGTATGGTCTCGACTGGGAGACATTTAAACACAAGTCTGAGCCTTGGGAACGGGAGACCCGGACAAGGTGTGATAACCTGCCAGGCCCTGCCCAGCGACTACAAAGCAGAAATTGAAAGACGCTCAAGAGCAGAACGTGAGACACAAGAGGCGACCAGCAGCCCCCACCAGTATCCTGTGAGCAGAGTTCCTGCAGCAGATGGCATAGCCCCGCTCCGGCAGGGAGCGTCCCCCCACCCGCTGGAGAGGCCTGGCTCCCAGCTTGAACCTGGGCTCCCTTGGCTGCGGGCTCACCTGGTTATGGGCATTGAGCTCCTGGTTCTCGCGCTGGCACTGCCGCAGGGCCTGCCGCTCGGCCTCCAGCGCCTGGGCCAGGTGGGCGTTCTCCAGGCACTTCTGTGAGTACTGCTCCGACAGCACCTCCAGCTCCCGCTGCACTGACTGCAGCTCCTCCCTGCGGAGAGGCACCCTCACTCCTCTGCCCTCCCAGGCCCAGCCCCACAGGGCCCGCCCCACCGTGACGCAGCAGAAAAACTGCTGAGCGACATAGAACAGGCCCTGCGTATTTTTGTTGTCTCAGAAAGTCTGTCCCCAGCCAAGGAGAGAAAACTTCCCCAGTAGTTCAGGTTCACAGAAATCTATTCTGCGTCCTTTTCTGGTCCTCCTTCAAATAACCCAACAGCCGCAGACAGCACTTCTCTCGTGAAGGCAGGAGAAAGCTCCTCACTCATGTCCACTTCTGAGAAGGAGGTTTGTCTGTTTTCAGCACTAACTGTGCCTCAGAACCCAGGACCAGGTCTACTGACCCATAAAAGCCAGAGCCTTGCAGTGTGGTTCCTGTCCCCGGGGACTCCTCAGAAGGGGCCCCATCTCCCACTGGTGGCACAAGGGGAGCCTCAGGGCCAGCCGCCCAGCCTGGCAGACCTGTCCCCTCTCTGGCCCAGAGGATATGACCACAGTCCACAGTCCACTACCCCTCAGCCCGCCCTGACTGCCCTGGGCGCGGACTGCCCTGAGCGGGAGCCTGGAAGAGCAGGGACCCTGGTTCTTTTACATCACAAACATCCTGGCCACGGCATGCTCTGCAGGGCTCTCGAAGCAACTGATTCAAGGCTCCAGGTGGCGTCAGCTCCACGGGAAAACCGAGCAGTTCCGCTGCCACACGCATGCCCTCCGGCCTCATGCTCAGGCAAAGGGCCCGGCACACACGCTTCTGGGAAGTGCAGGGAGTGTGCCGCCTCCGCCATGCACAGCATGAAGCGTGAGGCCCCAGACCAGACTCCTACTCAGGCTGCAGCCGCTGATGGAGAGAATACATTCTGGGGACGGTCTGAGGTCAGTCTTGAAAAGTGGCTAATAGTGATAAAATTTCTTCTGCTAACCTATTCTTTAGATTTTGGTAATTAGTTTCTATGTGCTTGTTTTTTTAGTGACAGGACACCCACAGGGGCCACAAGAGTTAGTGGCTTACTGACCCTCACTGGCACTTAGCCCAGCGCCTCTGGAGAACAGGCTCTGAGCTGCCTTTAGTGCCAGGGCCTCCACCAATGCCACCTCAGGCCCTGTATCTGTGGCTCCCACGGACACACAGGAAAGGCACCGGTTCCCACCTGAGGGGCTATCCCCGCCCTCCTGAGGGTGGAAAGCCGACTCACAGATACTGCCGCCGCAGGGCCTCGATGTCCGAGTTGATGCTGCTGATCTGGGACCGCTGGCTCTTCTCCAATTCACGCTCCATCTCCTCCCGGTGGGCATTCTTCATGGCTTCGATGGCTGTAGGAAAGGACACAGGCGTCAGCACTGAGCTGGTGGCCAAGAGACAGATATGGCAGTACCCACAGCTAATTTATTTAAACAATACAACAAAATTTAATCAACAATATAGTTGCCGTTGTTTTCTACTACTTGCGCCCAACGCTCAGGAAGCATTTTCATCCCTCTGTTGTAAAATTCTTGTGATTTTGATGCAAAAAATTCGGTCAATGCATTTTTGAGGCATTCTTCATTATTAAATTTTTTTCCAAGAAGAAAGTTTTGCAAAGAACGAAACAAATGGTAATCGGAAGGGGCAATATCAGGAGAATATGCAGGTTGAGGGAGAACTTCCCATTCCAACTGGCGCAGTTTTTCAGCAGTGATTCTTGCAGTATGCGGACATGCGTTATCGTGGTGAAGAATTACGCCCTTCCAATTAATCAGCGCAGGTTCTTTTTCTCTTAAAGCTTGGGCTAACCTTTCCAATTGGGCACTATACACTGCACTTGTAATGGTTTGGTTAGATGGTAAAAGTTCATAATGAAGAATTCCTTTAAAATTCCACCAAACACACAACATCACTTTTTTCGCATGCAAGTCAGGTTTTGGCGTGGGCTGCGGAGCCTCATTTTTGTCCAACCATTGAGGCCGCCTTTTCAAATTAACATACAGCACCCATTCTTCATCTCCGGTAACAATTTGCTCTAAAAACGGCAAACGGTTTTGACGAGAGAGGAGCGAACTGCAAATTGTGACTCTTTGATTACGGTTGTTGTCGGTCAACTCATGAGGAACCCATTTTCCAAACTTTTGGACTTTTCCAAGTGCACGCAATTGATTGGAAATTGTTTTTTGTGAACAATTTAAAGTTGTCGCAAGCTCTTGTTGGGTAATTTGAGGATTTTGCACCAAGAGAGCTTGAAGAGCTTCTTGATCAAAATTGGACACACGGCCTCGACCACTCTTGTCATCTAACGAAAAATTTCCCTCGCGAAATTTCTCAAACCAACGCTGGCATTTTTTGGCGCTAACTGCATCTTGACCAAGAGCACTACAGATGTTTTTTGCAGTCTCACTTGCTTTTCTTCCTAATTGGAACTCGTAAAGCATGCAGTGCCGAATATGCTCTTCATCCGCCATCTTCTTAGCCCTAGTTTTGCAACAAAAACCAAACCAAACACAAACTTTTTCAAGCAAAACTTGTTAATTGCACTTCACACGTTCTGTAGATACCACGTGTTTGAAGGTTATGTCAATACAAGTCAACGCCAAGCAAGATTTTAAACGAATGTTTTAAAACGACATTAATTATTACTAGACCCGATACTTTGGCAACAAAAAAAATTAAGATACTTATTAATAAACTTAACCAAGGAGATAAAAGATTTGTACTGGGAAAACTAAAGGACATTGAAAAAAGAGAGAGAAGATATAAACAAGTGAAAGAAGCCGGAACCGGTTTGGCTCAGTGGTAGAGCGTCGGTCCGCGGACTGAAAGGTCCTGAGTTCGATTCTGGTCAAGGGCATGTACCTTGGTTGCGGGCACATCCCAGGTAGGGGGTGTGCAAGAGGCAGCTGGTCGATGTTTCTCTCTCATCGATGTTTCTAGCTCTCTATCTCTCTCCCTTTCTCTTTGTAAAAAATCAATAAAATGTATTTTAAAAAACACACACACACAAAAAAAAACAAGTGAAAGAATATAACGTGTTCAATGAGTCATAGAATCAACATAATATGTCCACATTACCCAAGGCAATCTACAGATTCAAAGCAATCCCTATTAAAATATCAACAGGATATTTTACAGATTTAGAACAAATACTTCAAAAATTTATATGGAACTAACAGAGACCTGGAATAGCTGCAGCATTTTGAGAAAGAAGAACAAAGTTGAAGGAATCACAATACCAGATATAAAGCTATACTACAAAGCCACCATAATCAAAACAGCATGGTACTAGCATAAGAACAGGCATACATATCAATGGAACTAAACAGAGACCCCAGAAATCGACCCAAGCCATTACACTCAATTAATATCTGACAAAGGAGGCAAGAGTATACAATAGTGTCAAGACAGATTCTTCAATAAATGGTGTTGGGAAAATTGGACAGATACACACACAAAAAAATGAAACTAGACCACCAACTTAAACCATATACAAGAATAAACTAAAAATGGGTAAAAGACTTAAATTTAAGCTGTGGAACCATAAATATCCTAGAAGAAACCATAGGAAGCAAAATCTCAGACATCTCTTATAAAAAAAAATGTTTATGGATACATTTCCTAAGGCAAAGGAAAACTAAGGAGAAAATAAACAAATGGGACTACATCAAAATAAAAAGCTTCTGCACAGCAAAAGAAACAATCAACAAAACAACAAGAAAGCCCACTTTCTATCCTCATCTGAGAGTATGCTTATCGATTTGAGAGAGAGAGAAACATCATTTGGTTGCCTTCCATACACACTCTGAAAAAAGATCAAAATATATAAGGAACTCATACAACTTAACAAAAGGAAGACAAACAACCCAATTAAAAAAATCTCCAATGTGGACATACAGATGTCCAAGAGACCTATGAAAAATTGTTCATCAAAGAGTTGCAAACTAAAATGACAATGAGGCATCACCTCACACCTGTCAGAATGGTTACCATCAACAAATGACAAGTGTTGGCGAGGATGAGTGCACTGCTGGTGGGAAGGCAGACTGTTGCAGCCATTATGAAAAACAGTATGGAGTGCCCTCAAAAAATTAAATGTGGAACTCTCATTTGACCCAGTGATTCCACTTTTAGGAACATATCCTAAGAGATCCAAAACACCAATCAGAAATACTATATGCACCCCTATGTTCATAGCAGCACAATTTACAATGGCTAAGATCTGGAAACGGCCCACGTGCCCATTAGCAGATGAGTGGATAAAAAGCTGTGGTACATTTACACCATGAAATATTATGCAGCAGTGAAAAAGAAGGATCTCTTACACTTTGAGACAGCATGGAGGGATCTGAAGGCTATCATGCTAAGTGAAATAAGCCAGTCAGAGAAAGACAAGTATCACACAATCTCACTCATATGTGGAATCTAATTAACAAAATAAATTGATCAGAATAGATCCAGAGACATGGAAGCATAGAACAGAGTGCAGAATCTCAGAGGGAAGGTGGGGGAGTGAGGTGGATGGGAGATAATTAATCGAAAGCTTGTAAGCATATATGCATAACCCATGGACACAGACAAATAGGGTGGTGAAAAACTGGGGTGGGGGCAAGGGCGGGCTAGAGGGGGTCAATGGGGGAAAAGGGGGAGAAACGTAATACTTCCAACAATAACCATTTAATACTAATTAAAAAAATACTGCCCTGGCCTGTGTGAAGTATCATCTGTATACCAAAAGGCTGTGTGTTTGATCTTTTTTCAGAGTATGTATGGAAGGCAGCCAAATGATGTCTGTGTCCCCCCCCCCCCATCTCCCTCTCTCCCTCTCCCTCTCTCCCTCTCCCTCCCTCCCTCCCTCTCTCTCTCTCTCTCTCTCTCTCTCTCTCTCTCTCTCTCTCTCTCTCAAATCGATAAGCATACTTTCAGGTGAGGATGGATAGATAGACAGATAAATGTTGGAGACCGTGTGTAAGCTGACAGAGTCCTTGCACACGAAGGGACTGATAAGAACCCACACGTGTTCCCAGGCTAGTTTGGATGATTTCCAATTATCAGTAGAATGAGAGCAACCTTTCATGGCTTACCAAAAGTCTGTAACTATTTACTGAGATTTGCTGTAACGAGAATTTGCCTTCCTGCTTTATCTCTCCCTTAGAGATTAAGAGGAACAAAGAGTACATTCCTCTTAACTGACCTCTCATTCAGTGTTTGTGTATAAAAGGCATTACACAGTTAATAAAGCTGCTGCAGTCTGTCAATGGCTTGCAGCCCTCCAGATCCTGTTTTCTCATCTTTCTTTTCTTAATTCCCACCTCCCTACCTCAGCCCAGTTCACCTGTCAGGCTGGCCCTGGCAGATAAATAAATAAAATATTTTTTTAAAAATGAAGACAATCTACTGAATTGGAGAAGATATTTACCAAGACATATCTAATAAGGGGTTAATATCCAAAATTTTTACAATTCTGTAATATTTCAGGTAGTAAAATATCAGATACTCCTCTTATCATTTTTTTCTGATATATCTCCTTGGGCTAGAAAAACAAACCAAAAAATAAACAAATGGGACCACATAAAACTAAAGTTTTGGCACAGCAAAGTAAATCATCAACAAAATTCAACGACAACCTATTGAATATTGCCAATGATATAAAGGGTTAACATCCAAAATTTTATAAAGAACTCATACTACTCAACACCCCAAACCAAACAATCCAATTAATAAATGGTCAGAGGACCTGAGCAGACAATTCTCCAAAGAGACATAAAGATAGCCAATAGATATATGAAAATATGCTCAAAGTTACTATTCAACAGAGAAACGCAAATTAAAATCACAATGAGATATCACTTCACACTTGTCAGCATGGCTACCGTCAGTAAATCAAACAAGTGTTGGCAAGCATGGGGAGAAAAGGGAACCCTTGTGTCTTGTTGGTGGGAATGTAGACTGGTGCAGGCACTATGAAAACAGTATGGAGGGTCCTCAAAAATTTAAAAATGGCACTTCCTTATAACCCAATGATTCTTATTCTGGGTATGCATCTGAAGAAACCCAAAGCACTAATTCAAAAGTTTATGCATGACTATACTCACTGCACCATTATTTACACTAGCTAAGATATGGAAGCAACCCAAGTCCCACGAATAGATGCCTGGCTGAAAGCTGTGGTATATATGTACACACACACACACACACACACACACACACACACACACAATATGGAACATAACTTGGTCATAAAAAAGAATGGAATCTTACTATCTGCAATAGCATGAATGGACTTAGAGGGTATTATGCTAAGTAAACTAAGACAATCAGAGAAAGACAAATACCATGATTTCACTTATATGTGGAATCTGAAGAGCAATATAAGTGAACAACAAAACAGAAACACGCTTATAAATATAGAGAACAGACTGATGGTTGCCAGATGGGAGAGGGTTTGGGGACGGGGTGAAAAAGGTGGAGGGATTAAGAAGTACTATTCCAATAATTGGTAGTTACAAAATAGTCACGGGGATGTAAGGTACAGCATAGGGAGTAGCCAATAATATTGTAACGACTGTGTGGTGCCAGGTGGGGACTGGAAGTATTGGGGGGGGAACTCTATGTAAAGTGACTGTCTAACCACTACCAGGCGTCTTCAAACTACGGCCCGCGGGCCACATGCGACCCGCAGAGGAGTCTGATCCGGCCCGCCAGGTTTTTTGGGCAGTGAGCGCAGCCGAGGTGTTACAGTAGGAATTAGTAGTTCATATAGTCCGGCCCTCCAGCTCTCTGAGGGACCGTGATCTGGCCCCCACTTTAAAAAGTTTGAGGACGCCTGCACTATACTATACAGCTGAAACGAACACAAACTAATATGGAATGTAAACTGTAACTGAAAATTAAAATAAAATATCCTTCGATAATGAAGCTTAAATCTTAACCAAATGACAGCACAAAGAGCAGTCCTAGCTGAGAGCTGTACCGCCAGCTCTGGGAGTCTCCCCGTCCTGGCCTCTGGCTAGGCCAGCCACCATGCCGGCTCCCACCTGAGATGGTGGCTGCAGTCTCCTCAGCCAGGAGGCGATCTTTTTCCTCTCGCAGCTTCTCCAGCTCTCGCTGGTGCTGCCTCTGGAGATCTTCAATCTTCTTCTGGTGCGTTTCTTCCATTGCCGCAAACCCTCGCTCGCATGTGGCCTGCAGGACGCAAAGGAGCTTGATCAGTTTGTTTCGCCACCTCTAAGCCAGGGGCCCGGTTTGATAAGCCAGCAGCCTGCCTGCTCTCAGGCTTTCTCTTCTAGAGGAATATGCTCTCTGAAGGCGAGCACTGAGCCAGTGGGGCCATCTGACAGCTGTCTGGAGACTCTCACTGATGCTATCAGAGCACTTAGAAAAGGGTGTTTACATCTATAAATTGTCTTATTTCTATGATTGTTCTAAATCCTGAGAATGAGCTGGTATTGAGGGTGGGAAGAAGCTGCAGTGGAATCTAAACAGTCAATTCTGGACCCTGATAGAATTACTGCCAGGCTGGACTGACGAGAGGGAGAGAAGAGAATGAATTTGCAGAGGCTGGCTGTGTCTTGTTTGAGTTCATACAGTTAGTGGCACAGCGTCAGTCACAAACTGGGCATTTCACAAATAAGTCATAGTCATGACTTTGTGAGCTGGAGGGCTCCATGGGGCTGGCCCAGCTCTGACAAGCTAGTCACCCTCACCTGGTCACACCTCTGCAGTGTCCGCGAGGGGTTACATTAGGCTACACGCTCTCTTCCCTCCCAGTCTATCCTCCTTCTGTTTCCTCTGAAGGAGTACAGAGGGCAGTAATTAGTGACTCCACTAACCTCACTGGGACACATGCCAGAAAAACTGCTCTCCAACTTGTCTGCACCTGTTACAGGCTGGGGCGGTTTATCGCATGGGCACACTGGAGCGCAGGGGAAGAACACAGGCATGCCCTAAGAAGGGACTGAACCATCCCACAGGCCACACTGGGAAGTCCAGGCCTGGCTTATCAGTTGGTCTTAACAGGGCAGGTGAGTGTGCACCACAGATGCAAGGAGGTCTGTGTAGCTGTTTTGTGCACAGAACCACACTTTGTCTAAATCCCTTGCAAAATCTGTTTCTGAATAGAAATCAGGCCTCCCAGTGATTTTTAAAAAGTGGAGGAATGTGGCTATAATCCATTCCAAATGCAAGTGGAGGCTCCTCCCTCCCAATCCTATACTATTTGGTTGATCTTCTTGCACATGCATTTAAGAAAAACAAACAAACCCACCCGGGTTCTGGGCCCCCCGCAGCAACCGTGAGGCTTTCCTGAGGGCCTCAGCGCAGTGTTTCCAAACTCATGGCCAGAGTTTGGATTTCACTGCAGACTTGCTGCACTGGGCATATGGTTTTAACTGTGTTCACCATTAACTGGGAATCACTTTTCCTAGAAGCTCCTTCTGGCAGCCAGTGGTCTCCTTCCACCACCTCACACCAAAGGATGCTGGAGGAACCCTCGGATCCTTGCATGCTCAGAGCCCATCATCTTCTCTCCCATGTGCTTTGGTTCACATATGGCTTCTCAGTTAACACATAGCTAGTAAAGCTCGTAAGTATTAGTTTGATTTGAGTGCTTTAGAATACTATATAGTAAAAGTCTAATATGCTAATTGTCCAGTTGTCCGTTCAACCAAAGTATAATATGCTAATGATATGCTAATGCTGCTCAACTGCTTGCTCTGACATGCACTGACCACCAGGGGGCAGACAGTCAACAGTCAATCAGTTTGCTGCTTGGGTCCAGCTGAAGGGGACGGAGTGAGCCTGGCCCGACATGCTCTGGAGCCCTCCTGCAGTCCTTCCAAAGCCCCAGTTGTGCACCGGTGGGGTCCCTTGTCCTGGCCTGTGCCCTCTCGAACCTGGGACCCCACGGGGGATGTCGGAGAACAGGTTGCAGCCCGATTCCACAAGCCAGGCCGAGGGACCCCACTGGTGCACAAATTCGTGCACTGGGCCTCTAGTATTATAGCTAAATAATGGTCAAAATTCTTTCTATAGAAACTCAGAGGTGTCTTTAAAGATTGGCTGCTCCTCTGGAAAGCATGTGTTAAAAAAAATCAATAAACAAATTTTCATTTTTAGGCCAATAATCTCCTGGATCAATGACTACCATGCAGAATCATGAGGGAAGGCATCAGCTTGTGGTTATAGTAGAGTGGCCATCAAGTCCAGATCCCAATCTCTCCAACCTGGGCAAAAATCTGCACAAAGTCCTAGCATCTGGGTCCCCAGGAGAGTGCTATTTGGTTGAAATTTCTGTGTGTCTCAAGGTTGTCAATGAGAATACCATGGACCTATGTCACGGCAAGGGGATACCGAGTCCCAGCACCATCTATGGCCATTTTGTCAACACAAGGCAATGGTATCCTTCCTGATGGCTTCTTAATGGGTGCTATGATGCCAGCACTTTGGTCAAAGCCTTATCTATGCCCCGCTGACTGCCATGGGAGCTGGAATAGCCTCACCGTGCAGGAGGCTCTGGTGGAACTGACAGGAAGCAGCTCGCTGTGGCGGAGGAACACTCTGGCTCCTGTGTGCCTAAGCTGTGTGCGCGCGCCCAGGCACCTGCTCAGAGACCTGCTGGGTGCTGTGAAAAGTTGTGGGGCCCTGTGAGTAGCGAAGGCAGTGCTTGTGCAAACTACTTTGAAAGCCCCACCTGAGCACTGCTATTGCAGGCACCGACTGCCACAGAGCACTTCCGGGAAAGAGCCCTGGAAGCTCTCCCGTGACTCACGATGGGTTCGGACTGACCCAGGACAAGCACAGTGCAGGTGGCCTCTCGGCCTGCGTGCTTGCTGGCCACCACACGGGCTTGCCTGTGCGAGTGCTGTGCTGTCACGGAGGTAAGAATGTGCTGCCTACACAGAGCAAACTTATGTTTTCCTGCCAGACCTGGAGGAGTGCACTGCTGGGAGCACAGCCTTGGCAGCTTGCTCAGCAGCAGCAAAGCATTTGCAGCCCAGACCCAGCTCTGCACTGCATGGAAGGGAGAGTCACCTCATCCTGGGCCTGCCGAGACCAAGGGCTTGTGAGGCGAGTGGGTATTTATGGGGTGTAGCTCCAACGGATGGCGAGCAGCCCAAGAGGATAACGCCGAGAAGCTTAGGGGATGTGCTGGCAGCCACATGCTTGCACACAAGTGCCTCTGGTTATGAAGGGGATGGATGGGCCTGGAATTGTTGCCTTTGTGTGCTGGGGCCTGCTGGGTGTTCTGCATAATGAGGAACAGTTTAGGAGTGTGGAAGATGGTGACAAGAAAATGGTGACAAGAAAATGTTATTTCTCCAAGCTCCTGAGGAGTACCAGCGCTGAAAGCTGTGCTCTTGGAGTCCTTACCTAGGTGCCCACTAAACACCAGTTCCCTACAGAGTTGGGATGGGAGTGTCTCTAAGCACTGTCTTGTCAATATTCCTATCTTCCAGGCTTCCCAAACTCTCCTACAACAGTTAAGAGACAGCCTTGCAAGAGTGCCTCTGGCTTGTCTACCCCAGGCTTTTTTCTTCAGTGTAGTTTGCACCAGCCACAGGTGGGCTGTTGGGATGGGAAGTAGGCCAGGTGGTGAGGGGCTATGAGAAGCGGGCGGGAAGGCAATGGGATACTACACTCCTTCTCTCGCCAGCGATCCTGTTCTGCTAGTCCTCTTTCTTGGTGGGGGATGCTGAACAGGATGCTAGACCCTAACCAAGGCCCTGCTCTGAGGCTATGCCATGGCAAGGAATCGAGGAAGGAACAAAATGTTGAATAAGTTCTGCTTATACAGAAACTCAGGGCCAAGAACTGTCTTCCAGCTCCAGCCCGAGAATCCCAGACACTGCCTCTCAATAAGGAGAACGCCTGCCCCTCGACCGCTTTGCAAATTAAATGATGCTTTGAAACCTTAAGGTTCTCAAAGTCTTTCTGGTACTTCTCCCGCAGCGTGGCCGTGTCACCCTCCAGGTCCTTGTGCTCCAGCTCCTCCCGCATGATGTCCATCTGAGCCTCCAGCTCCTGGATGCGCTCCCTCAGGCCCATCATGGAGTCAGCCTCCCCAGTGGTTACTTGCAGAGCATCCCTGGGCTGGCCAGCTGGCCAGGTGGAGGAAGGGGGCTGGTGGGGGCTCCTGGCCAGCAAGGCTTCCGGCGGCTGGCCCTGATAGTGGCAGAGGGTCTCCTGCAGGCACTGCAGGTTCTGGGAGTAGTGCTCCTGCAAGGTCCTTAGCTCTTCCTCATGGATGGTCTGTAGCTCTTTGACCTTGAGCTGGAACTTGTCCTCCAGGGTCTGCATCTGCTCCACATGGTGCCTCTCCATGTCCTGCCTGTCTCTGACTGAGGCATCCAGCTGGCTCAGGACTCGGCTGTGCTCAGCTTGCAGTGTATTCTCTGCTCTGTTCAACTGCTCCACCACACACCGGATCTCCTCCTCGTACCGCCCTTGCAGGGCAAACATGTTCTCATTGTGCTTGCTCTCCACTTCCTCCAGATACCTCTGCTGCTGGTCTAGCTGGGCGACCTGGGCCTTGAGCTCAGCATTTTCCCTTTGAATGATGGAAATCACTTCCAGGTACTCACTCTTCTGCTTCCGGAGAAGTTCCTTGTACTCCTCCCTCAGGGCTCCGATAGCTTGCTCGTGCTCCTGGCAGGAGCCCCCCCTGCTCGGCCAGGACTCCTTGTAGCACTGAAGCTCTTTCTCATACTCCAGGCGAATTTTGCAGGCTGCATAACATACCTGAGCCTGAATAATTGCATCTTTAACTAGTAATGAAGAATACTGACCAAGGCCTCCCAAGTAAGTGTTATAGGAGAGATTCTGGGACACCTGAAGAAGCTTCTGACAATCTCTCATGGACTCCACAGGGGGAAGGGAAGTTAAAGAGGCAGATATCTCTCCTAAGAGGCGGGCCTTATCTTTAAGCTGCAGGGCGAGTTCTTCCTGAATCCCAACGAAGGCCCCAGAGCTCTGGTCGGAGAAGTGGAAGGGCTCCTGGAAGCCAGCTGTGTCTTGATGACTCAGTTCTTCTCTCAATGGGCTCAAGTCCCAGGGAGCCTGGACACCTTCTGCAGTGTCCCCTGGGAGCTGGAGGGCCTCTGCGACCTGCTGCATCACCCTCTCAAAGTCAGGGGTTCGGTAGGCTCCTAGGATTTCTCCCAGCGCGTGCTTATGCTGCCGCAGGGCTGCTTGGGTCCCCCGGAGAGTCTCCCGAATGCTCTGCAACCGACGGTGGAACGACTCCCTCACTGACTGCACAGCAAAGCTGAGCTCCGCCCTGACCCACGTGGCTTCTGCCAGGGTGGGGACCAGGGCTGGTGGGATGCTCTGCTGCCCACCTCCTGATGCACTGGCTGCCTCTCCCCCCACTGTTCCCAGGTGCTTACTCAGGGACTCAACCTGGCTCCAGAATTCACCATCCACCAGCACCTTCTTAGCCCAGGTGTCTGCTGGGGCCCCCAGACAGACTGCACTCCCAGACTCCAGGGGCAACTCTCCTGACTGAGAAACCTCGTCGAGAAGGTGGGAGATGTCTGACGTTGTGTTTTTTAAAGAGTCTGCTATGTGGTTTATCAGAGAGGCTTCCAGAGCTATTTGATCAGCAAGGAGCTTCAACTGCTCCTGCTCGGTCAGCTTCAACTGCTCCTGCTCGGTCAGCTCCGGCTGCGGAGTCTCCTTCCCTCTCTCCAGGAAACTCTCTTCCTCCAGCAGAGTTTGGGCCCCGCTGTCTGCAGGGGCTGGCCAGTGACGCAGAGCCTGGATGGCACTTACTAGCACGCTCTCCACGCTGGCCAGGGGGCCTGCTCCTGCCCCCAGTGCTTCCTCCTGGCCAGACCTTGGCAGAGACTGTAGCTGTTCTCGGCAATTTTCTAAGCAAGCGAGGGCCTGTGTGTTTTTTACCTGGAAATTTCCAAGCTCCCCTACGTGATTTTCAATGACCTTCTTCCTGGCCTGTTTCTCCTGCTCCAGCTGTGAGGCCAGCGCGCCCACCTGGAGCAGGCTGGCACGGAGCTGCTCGCGGAGCCTCGCCTCGGTGCCAGCCCATTGGTGGTGCAGCGTGAGCAGGGCCTCCTGGCTCTGGCCCTGCTGGCTCTCCAGCTTCACCGTCACATCTTTGAGCTTCTCTTCTGTGATGTAGAGCTTGGTCTCCAGGGAGTGTATTATGGAGAGGTAGGTGTCAGAGTCGCTGGTTGCAGGGACAGAGCTAAGGGTGGCCTCTGACGACATGCTCTCCTCGGAGGGTGACTGGTCCTGACTGGTGTCGGAAGACGTGCTGCTGGTCCAGGTCTTCTCGGATCCATCAGGGTGGGTGTATTTCTGGCATTGGATCGTGGAGAACCGGATTCTTTGCCTTTTAATGCTGGGTACGCACTGCTCAGGTTTTGCTGTGTTCCGTGAGTGCTCCTCCTTGTCAGGCACTTCTGACTTCGGGGGCATTATGCTCCCTTCTCTCCTGGGGCTGCTGTGCCCATGTTTCTCCTTAAGGGCAGCCCCCGGGTCCTCATCCTCGAGCCTCACGTGTGGGCAGCCTGGGGATATGCCTGAGGCTTGGAGCTGCAGGTCCGAGAGCGCAAAGCCATCCTCTGCTTCTCCCAGGGAGCTCTGCGGCTCCTCCACTTCCTCTGAAGACGCCTTGGTAAATTTCCTTAAAATCTCTTCCTTTGTCTGGAGCTTCATTTCTGTTTCCTCTAAGCTGCTCCCCAAGGCAACCATTTTAACCAAAGCCTCATTGAGGTCCTGATCTTTCTTTTCCAGAACTTTCTCATGCATGTCCTTGATATGCCTCAGCTCCTCCTCCCTCTGTCTCAGCAGGGCGTGCATGCCCTGGAGCTGGCCGGCCACCCTCTGGTAGGCATGCTCCAGGCTCTGGTAGTCGGCCTCCCTGCCCTGCAGCTTCTGCTGAAGCTCAGCAACATCCCCATCAGACAGGGCGACGCGCTCCGTCAGCTCCTGGAACCGCTGCCGGACCAGGTCCCGCTCGTCCCTGAGACTCTGGACGTGCTGGGCCAGCGTCTGGAGGCTAGCCTCCTTCGCCTGCAGCTGCTCCTCCAGCTGGCGCACCGCCTGGCTGCCCTCAGACCTGGCGCTGAGCTTCTCCCTCTGGAGGGCCTCCACCTGCTGCTCGTGGTCCTGGAGCTGGTCCTCGTAGGCACTGGCCTTGTCCTCCACCTCCTTCAGGTTCTGCAGCAACGCCTGCTTTTCCTTCTCACAGCTCTCCAGCAGCAGCTCGTAGTTCCTCTGCAGCTTCTCCTCCATCAGCCGCTGGGCCTGCTCGCTAGCACTGAGCTGCTGGCTGAGGTCTGCGATGCGCTCCTGTAGCCTCTGCACCTCCTTCTGCCGGTCTCTCTGCAGTGCCTGCTGCGTCTCCAGGTCGCGCAGCTCCTGCATCTTCTCCAGCAGCAGGGCCTCTGCGCTCTTGAGCTTCTGCTCGCTGGCCTGGAGCTGACCGCTCAGCACGGCCTTGCTGTGCTGCCACTCCTCCAAGTGTTCACGGGCCTTGTCCTTCTCCAGTTCCAGGTCCCCCTTGAGCTGGGCCAGTGCCTGTTCCTTGAAGGTGAGCTCGGCGGCAGCGGTGCTGAGCCTCGCCTGAAGGCTGCGGATCTCGGCCTCACGGAGCCGGGCTGCATCCTCGGGCTCCCCGTGGCTGCGCTTCAGGGCCTGGGTCTGCTGCGTGGTCAGCCCCTGGCGCTGGCACTGGGCCTCCAGCTCCCTTTGCAGATCTTGATGAACTCTGTGGAGCCTCTGCCAGGCACAAGATGGGGAGGTGGCCACTTCAGTCTTAAAAAAACCGATTAAACACTGGTTAGTAACACTCGGGCTTCCTAGTTCTGAGTGTCACACCTCTGGCCAGGGTCAGTCACAGAAAAGCTCCTTGGTGGGTTTGCCTTTTATCCTTTGCACAATTTTTTTCATTTAAAAAAAATCCAACAAATCATCTTAATTATTTTGATAAGTGCTGCTGCCAGGTAAACAGAAAACATAGATAACAACATCAAAACAACTCTAACTAAATGGCTTCTAGAAGTAAATCAAACACAGCTGAATAATGGCACACATGGGTAAGCAAAACAGGACTGAAGACGAGACGGGTGGGAGGAGGGGGAGCAGAGCATGGCATCTGTTTGTTTTACAAAATGAAAGGTACACACTCTAGACAATAAATCTTGGAAAAGCAGGATGAGGCTGCGGGGGAGGCCCCTTCCTTCTAGGACAGGAGAGAAGGAAGGAGGCAGCAGGCGACACGGAGCACTTTCCTTTCGGAAGTGGAGCTCGTCCTCATGGCAGGAGGAACGAGTCTCCACCTGTAAGAAGACAGAACGAGGGAGAGCGAAACCCATGGACTAAAATATGATAACCAACCAAACATACCTCATGGAATTCAAAATAAATTTTGTTTTTGACGCATGCACAAAACAAAACACAACACAAATGGAACAAAACTCCCCAAACAGGAAGGCATGCAGGACAGACAGAACTAATAATCGGGGGAAACATGAACAGAAGTGAGAACAGCCCAGCCGGAGACCCTGACCTGCCTGTGGCCCCTTCCGTCCGTGGGGAAGCCACAGATGTGACACTCAGTTCCGTTATCGGTTATACTCCACAGCAAGTCCAAACCATGCAAGCGCCTCCTCCCAGAACGCGTAGCGGAGCACAGCGCCCATCCCAGGCAAACTCCTTCCGACCTCAATCCCCAAGGCCTCGTTCTTTCCCAAAGCACAAAGGGAGGTTAAGAGCAGCCGCTATTAGACTTTGTGGGAAGGCATTCAGAAGCCAGCTCTGCCCAGTGCCAACTTGGGTGGGCTCAGGCAGTCATCCAAAGGCAGGTTCTTAGGTTAGCAATGTGCGCAATGTGCTGCTAATATCTTCACCACCTGATGAAGTAAAGGGAATCTGTGTAGGATAGGGGCCCAACCCAGGTTTAAAAAGATGCTCCCCAAACCTGGAGGGTCTGCATGAATGATCAGAATGCCCTGAGTGAGCTGTGCACAAAAGAACGCTCACCATCACCAGCTTCTGGTGCCTGAGTTTGAACTGGGCACAACAATAACTACAGAGGAAAGGGCTGGGAAGGAGGGTGCCCAGGCCACAGCTGAAGCTGAGGGCAAAGGGAGAGGAGAGAGAGTAGAGGAAACATGCAGCCCAGCAGCATGGACAGAGGCAGGAAGGCCCACGGCCTGGGGCGGGCCAGGCATGGTGATCTGGAAATGTTGGCTCGGTCACTGAGAGCTGGAAGGGCTTCAGGGACAAGGTCTACGCCCGCACAGGAGAGGCCAGTGCGGTGGGGGAGGGGACACGGGCATCTGCTGGCCAGTGTCAGGGCTGAGCTTGCAGCCAGGTCCTTGGCCTTGGCAGAGAGCCCATTCCATTGCCCACTTTGCATTTCCCAGGATTCATGTCAGTCATCTCTCCCCACCAGCACATCACTTCAGGGACAGGGAGGTTGCCGTTTGTGTCCCAGACCAAAATAGGGCCTCGACAGAGCACACACCAGCTCACTGTCCACTGCTCTCTGTGATTCTGCCTGCTGACCAGGACTGTGGCCCAGAGACCTCTGGTCCAAACACCGAGTGTGGGCTCTCAGCTTAGAACCCAAGCTTGGGGCCTCCTCTCCCCTTGGCGGTTGGCTGTGTGGGTTGGCTCAGGGCAGGGGGCCATGTTTCCCCCGAAACTTGTCTCAGTAGGAAGAAAGGAACAGGGCCACTGGGCGAGTGGTAAGAGCCCAGGTCTGCCTGTAGGCATGGCACAGACACAGGTCGGGGGTCCAGAGCTAGCTCTGCCACTGACTTGGTCCTAAGGAGGCACTTGGTGGCTGTGTCACTCAATTTCTTCAATCTGTAAAACAGTCCAAACACTGCTTTTGTAAAAACTATTAGAAATGACATGCAAATATATAGTACTTATAACAAATATATTGGATAACTTTGAGAGCCCAGAGGAAAACCCACCAAAATTATTTTATTAAAAAACAAAGAAAAAAAACCTTAGACACAGAGGTTTCAGGTAGATTCTCCAAAATGTAATACCAGGAGGACACACATGACCCAGTGCCCGGAGCCACGGGCCTGTGGCAGAGCAGCCTGGGCGGCACTGCGGGCGGCGTGCGCATTCCTAACCCGCCAGACCCTCGCACTCACGTTCCCAAGAGCATCTTGAGCGCCGGCAGCCCCTCAGCCCTACCTGCAGCACATAGCCCTCCCGGGCACTCTGCTCCCGGCCCAGAGCCACCCTCAGCTGGTCCTGCAGGTGCCGGTTCTGCTCCAAAAGGTCTGAGGCCTCCTTCTGGCTCTGCTCCAACTGTTGACAAGAAGACATGCATTTTAACGCAAAAGGATGGTAACAATCAGCAACACCGTAGAGGCTCTGGGGCATCTCTGACACCAGCTAACCTGGCACACAGACTCCTCCCTGGCCCTCATGTGCCCACAGGTAAGAGATAATCTGCTCTGCCTGAACTGCAGCATCTGGAACTGAAGGCTCCTGCTCACTCCGTAACTGCACACACATAACACGGCAGACCGGCCCTGACTGCCCCCAAACACTCCCCTGCTCCAGGCCCCCTCCCAGACCCAGCAGGAAATGTGCTCCATGCTGCACCAGGAGGCAGATATGCCCGTCCTTTCCATTTTCTCAGCACGGCCCGCACTCATCCTGGTCTGGGTGCCCAGAGGGACCGGCTCTGCAAAGTCTCCACAGTGCAGTCCTTGCCGAGTGAGTGCCCGGCTCACTGGGGCACCCACTGCCTCCCACGGTGGCCTGCACCTCCTCAGGTCCCTGGCGGTCACCAGGCTGCTGGGCAGCAGTGGGACTCTACTCTGCCTCCAGCTTTGGCCTGCTCTCCCCAGGGTCAGATCAAACCTAACTCTGCTGTGTTCCTCTCCCTCAAAGAGCTCTAGTTCATGCTGGAAACAGGGCCCTGAAACCCTACAGCCTCTTCTCTGGCCACCCTGACTCCAATGGCAGTGCCCCTGCCACATGGCAAACTACTCTGTCTTATAATAGAAAGGTCTGGTCCCTGCACCACCCTGCATGAGCTGGCACTCCTGTACCTCTCAGCGACTACAGTGGACTCTAGGAACTTGTCCAGCCATGGGTCTATCTTCCTCAACGGTTGGCAAGCCCTGGAGGGGAGACCACATCTCCCTCGGTCATGCAGCTGAACCACTCAGGCTGCTGCCGGGCACAGGGGATGGGTGTTCAGGAAGGGACGCTGCATGGAACCTGCCCACCTGCGGCCGCCTGATCATTACCTCCTTCTCCAGCAGAGAGGTCAGTTCATGAGTAGAGAGCCGGTCACTTCTGTCCTCAGAGGACAGGTGCAGAGGGGCAATGGGCACCTGCTTTTCTTCCCGGAGAGGGGTGGTCTCCACCTGATGCCACCGCTGCTCGATCTCCACATGGACATTCTGTGTCTTGAGGTCGGGGGTCACAGGTAGCCCCGGGCTCCGATCCACCTCCATCCGCAAGGACGTGTCATCAGCGGCTGGCCCGTCCACCGTGTCAAACATCCCGAAGCGCTTACGGCGCTCTTCCCGCCGGCGTGCCCGCTCCCGCTCCAGCTCCCCCGGCCCGGCCTCGGGGAGGCTGCGGGGCAGCTCTGCCCGCTCCTGAGCCAGGGCCTGCTGCAGGGGGCGGAACTCAGCCCAGTCGAAGGTCTTGGAGCGCCCCTCCCGCCTGCGCTCGCGAGCTCGGCTCCTCTTCTGCTCAGGGTCTGGCTCCCTGGGCTCCACCTCCAGCTTCTCACTTGGCCTTGGGCAGGTCTCGAAGGAGGAGCTGATGCGGTTTCTCTCCTCCGGCAAGGAGCTGGGCGGGGGGCAAACAGCCTGTCAGGGGTGGCTCCAGGCAGAGGCCCGCTCCCCGCTCCCCACACACTCTTTCCACCTCTGCTGCAGAAAGCACAGTCATCATTTCCTGCAGGAAACCCAAACTGAGTTCTGAGTGGAGACGGGACAGCAGCAGCCACAGCAGCCCAGAGATTTCCAGCAGGAGGGTACTTTGAGGGCCCCCAACTGAGGAGATGCTGGGGGAGCATCTGGGATGACGAAGCACAGAGCACTGCCCCGCTGAGAGCCCAGGCTTCGAGCCCGTCCCGCTGCACCAGGCACAGCACTGTCCAAACCCTCCCGTGGCACGCATGCACTGGGCAGTGGGGACAGAGGAAGGAGACCAGCCGTGTCCCTTGAAGGGATCAAGAGTTTTCAATAAGCAGGGAAGCAACATGGTCAGGTCTGTGCTTCAGGAAACTCCCGTAGCTGATATGACAGATGAGCCAGAGTGACAGGCCCGAAAGGACCTGGGGACAAACCAGATAGATGTCCCAGGTGGCACCAACTCCCCACCAGGCAGTGGCCCACTCAAGGGCACTTCTGCATGCCCAGCAGTGAGCCCAGGCCTTTCCCCAGTTTGCCCCAAAGCAAAGATTCCTGAAGAGGAATGAACCTCCTGGGGTAGGGTGAGGTATCAGTCACGGCAGGTTGAGGCCGGATCTCCAGGCTTTTTGGATAAGACCCTGAGATTTGCAGCCTGGACAGAGCCAGGGAGCAAAAAGCACATGGGAAGCCAGCTGGGCCTGCGAGGTTCTAGAAATCACCTGAGCTTAAATGGGGCCAAAGACAAGGACCCAGTGAAAGAGGCCCCAGGAAAAGAGAATGGAGTCACCACCATGCCTGGCCACCTGTCCCAGCAGCTAACTAGGAAACCAAAGTGCTTCCAAGCGGCCTGCCAGCTTCCCGTTCAGCCCAAAATGCCTTGGAGCGGATGTTCTCCAGCACAGCCCTTCTGACGCCCTGAGCCGAGAGGAGCAGGCGTCAGGGCCCCAGGGCGACGTAGAGAACCGGAAGCAGCAGCCACACCAGGACCGCCAACTCCCCAACAGAGAAAGCCCGTCCTGGGGCCCCTCAAGCCCCCAGGCAGGAAGCCCCACAACTCCTCCAGACACAGGCGCTCCCCCACCACCTCTGATGTTGTTATCTGTTTCTAATACTTCCTTGGGACTTTGCCTGGTAGCACTAAAAGCCCTTATTTTCCTCAAACTATAAAAGCACACCAAATAAGCACAAAGGCTGAAAACTAAGTACTCCACTCATTGGAAAGTAAACCCTAGCCAGAACGCCAGCCACGCCAGCCTTACTCCAGAAATGAAATCTTGGTCCCTGGGTACCCGGACCCGCAGGACGCCAAGTCGGCGTGGGAGAAACACGCAGTGACAGGGCCAGTGCCAGCCTGGGAGATGCACTTTTTAAATCCTCACCCGAGGATACGTCTTTTAGAGAGAGAGGAGGGGTGAGGAACATTGATGTGAGAGAGAAACGTCCATCTGTTGCCTCCGTACACACCCTGACGGGGACTGAATAGCAACCTAGGCATGCGCCCGAACCGGGAACCAAACCTGCACCCTTTTGGTGCATGGGACAACGCTCCAACCAACTGAGCCACCAGGCCCTGCCTGCGACTGCACAGCCGACAGCCCCAGCCAGGCCTCAGGTGGAGGCAAAGGGCCAGGCCGCAGGTGAGCACCAGGGCTGGCTGGGGCAGGGCGAGCAGGTGAGCGCCATGGCTGCGAGGCCCTGACCTGGGGCACTGGCCCTTGGAGGCCACACGGCAGCCTCGCAGAGGAGTCCAGGCGCCTCTGTGGCTTTGCCTGGGGCACCCTCAAGGGGTCAGTGTTGGCCTCTGCCCCTCAGCGGGAGAGAGCTGGAGCCGCTGCTGAGCTGCCATGCGCGCAGCCACGAGGGCTGAGTGCCTCCTGCAGGTCTGCACACAGGATGTGCTTGTTCACAGGACACGGACAGCCTGTCCCACTCACTGTCTCCTGGCCTTACCCACACAGGAACAACAGATTATCCTGTTTGTTTAATAAAGAAGTGAACAAATAATGCCAACAAACAGGGGAAAGAACTAAAGAGAAGAGTTACTTTGGCTTCCTTTCCTTCTGGTTCAAAGAGGTCCAGTGTCATTAAAAAAAGACTTGGCATGGCCACCAGGGTCACCAGAATGGGACCTCTGATGCAAGAAGTACCCTTCAGGAGTCATTCAGACCTGTGCCTGAGAACTGACAGGGTCTGAGCAGGCGGAGGCTCTGAAGCCCCGAGGCGAGGGACCAGCTCCACATACTGGAACCATGTCCCTTTTCTTTTAAAATGAAAACCAGCAAGTTTCTGACCTTCGAGATTGGAGGAGGAAGGCACACGGAGAATCAGGAGACATATGAACCAGAGTGCTATGGGGAGAGGAGTTTCCAACCGAGATTTTCAGAGAATTTTTCCTGGTTGCACCCCCCGCCCCCCCCCCACACACATGTGCACATGTAAGGAGGGAGGGAGGGAGGGAGGAAGGGAGGGGGAAAATAAATGCTGTGGTGGCCTATGAATGCAGCCTTCAGGGCTGCCCTCACCCAACAGGGCACAGCGCCAGTGCCAGCCCACACCAGAGGGAGCTTAGCCCAAGTTCAGTTCTGACAGCGGCACAAATGACACTTATGTGGCTCTAATGCAAGAAATACTTTCAGGAGGCAAAGGAGACCTGACAGAAAAGCCAGGGCCGGCCAGCCAGCCGTGGGCAGAGGCGGCTCAGGGCCCGGGGAAGCGGCTCCCTCAGACTTTACCTCGTCACGTCCGGGGCAGAGGTCGGATGAACGTGCTTCATGATGGTCTGGATCCAGTTCCGCCGGATTCCCGACGTCATAGCCGAGAGGGTGAACTCGCCCTCCTTCGTCTACAAAGGACAGGGCAGGTCAGTGACCACCGTCTGCCTGCCCCCCTCAGGTCAGTCCTGCAGGGCGGCTGTGGCCAGGCGGCCACCTCAGGAGCACATGCACAGCCAGGGGATGAATGAGGCCCGAGAGCAGAGGAACAGCAAGGCTGTGGGAACCAACGTGCTTCCCTGGGAATGGCTGTCGGGACCTCCCTCTGTGGACTCAGCGGGCTTCCCTGAGCACCTACGAGGCCTGGCACTGAGGGGACTCGCTGCTCTTCAAGCTCACAGGCTGGAGGGAGAGTGTGAGCACGGGTGAGGCCCAGAGCACGGCTGAGAGGGGCCACGAGGGTGAGGAGGGTGATAAGCGGATGGGGAGGAGGTACTGCGGGAAGAGCCCAGGCCCGGTGCCCTGCAGCCAGGCTCATCAGGCACAGGCAGGCAAGGGATGACAGCAGGTGCGAGGCAGGCAGGAGGCCTGGTCCTGGTAGAGCCAGGTCTCGGGCTGAGAAGAGGCAGGGAGGCCCGCTGGGCGGTTCGGGCAGGTGTCCAGGTGATTAGAATGCAGGTGGTGACAGAGAAGAGGGGAGGGAGCACTTCTGGGACAACCCCTCAGCCTCCGATGAGCTGATGGGCCATCAGTCAAGACAGGGAGCAGGCCTGTAGTGGGAGCAGTGCAGGCAGCAGGGGACGGAAGCTAGATGGAGGAGCAGAGATGCAGCACGGCCAGCGAGGGGGGAGTGCCTCTGGGGCAGGTCCCTTCAGAGAAGGCAAAGATGGGAAGCCTGGTGGTGACGCCATGGAGCCCACTGCCCTGCTTCTGCTCCCACAGCTGTCTCACAGGAGGGAGGGTGTAGTCCCGCTCTTTGAGCTGCACAGGCTACTCGGAAACAAACCCACAAGAGGTTAGCAAATCAGCTGATGGGAAGATGAAACCACCAAGACGGTTTGGGTTGGTATTGGCGTGGCCAGGGACCAAAGCACGAGACCACAAGACAGCCTGGAGAGCTGCAAAGCCGAGCTTGGACTTGACCTCCAGCTCAGCCACCAGTCAGAGACAACCCACGACTCCTTGTTCCTTGGGTTTCCCTTCCTGTACTCTGAGGGTGGGGCATGGCCTTCACGCAACCTGAGTGCTGCCTCCCTAGGCCCTGGCCCTGGCCCTGTGTCCCAGGGATCGGCTCACACTTGTCCTGGGGTCCTCTGCCGCCTCCTGCTCCCACGTCTGGCGTCTCCGCAGTCTGAGCTTGGCCATCTCCACATTCTTTCCCAGGACCTCATCTCCCACCCCCAGCAGGCTCTTTCCCAACGTGGGCCACACCTGGCTGCCTGTCTAATGTCCTTAGAGAGCCATCACAGCCAGAATTCCAGAGGCTCTGCTCCTTTTGTGAAGTCACCTCTGCTGCCCCACTTCTGCACAAGGCCTGCCTGCTCTGGACACCTGGACACCTGACCTCGTGCCTGCCTCCTCCCTCCATGACCACCCCACAGCCCATGTGTGCCTCCTCCACAGTGCCTCCCACCCACTTCTCTCTTTTCTGCTCGCCACTGTGTCAGCTGGGTCTCTCGCCTCTACCTTCCCCTCCTCTAACCACTTGTATGTCCTGCGGTTGTGTCTTCCTACATGAGGTAATGGTTCCAGCACCTTCCACATCAGGACAAGGCTGACTTCTGGCCAGCACTGGGCTCTCACAGAGCTCCCTGCTCAGCTTCTGCACTTAGCTCCCTGTAGGTGCCTCTAGGTCTGGTGGCCACACCAGGGGCCCTGCACACTCACTCCTCACCCTTCCTCTCAGGAACCTGGGACTCCTTACGGACTTGAGCGGAGCCTCCAGGACCTGCCTCCATGCTGAAAGTGATCTCTCCTGACCTAGCCCCTCAGCCACGGGCTCATGAAAAAGCAGCAGAACCCGGGGTAAGCTCCCATCGAGGGCAAGTGACAGGAGGCAGACTGTCAGGTGAGAACAACCCGCATGGCGCAGGCCCTCAATAATTAAGTTGTAACTTGTTCAGTGAGGGGATCTGACTCTTAAGTGGCAAGCCACCTCTTACCTCAGGACACCTGCCCTGAGAAAGCTGCTCTGTGAGAAGGGGAGGGACAGGCTAGGAGGGGGACCCAGCATGGCGCCTAGAAAGCAGAAGTCACCACTTCCACCAATGCCGCCTGAAGACAAGAGGCTCAGACTCAGCTGCTGAGCACGTCTGCTCCTCCTGCAGGGCCAGGGACAGAAGTGATTAGAGGGGGGTAGCTAAGACCCTGAGATCCACGACCTCATGCCAGGACACCTGTGCGACTCCCAGCTGTGCCTTGGCATCACAGCGGAGAAATGCCATGACCAGCGGCCCAGTGGGCTGCGGGCGGGATTTCTTCTTAAAATGCACACACTGGCCTTGGGTCCTAACCTCAGTCTCTTTTAAGTCTGGCTAATATGACCCAGTCTCAATGCTTGATTCACTCTGAGTCCCATGTACAACTGAGCTTTTACACCCAACCGCCTGGAGGTAAGACCCCATCAAGTTCCAGGTCCTGTGAGGACAGAGCCCGGCCGGCCTGGCGTGCAGCTGTCAGGCTGTCTGCTCCGTCACGGGCTCGAGCACAGAGTGGCCTTGGCTCCTGGGAAGCACCCTGGGAGCCTGTTGTTCAGGGCGGGGCGGGCTACGTAAAGAGCAGCCATCAGTGAGAGCTGGGCGATGGGCCGCGTGAAACCAGCCGACCTAAGGGAGGCGTGGAGGCAGTGCTCGGCCACACGGATGTAACTCAATCAATCACAACAGTTATGAAACATCCACAAAAACCAAGGACACAGCTCAGATGAGTTTCCTGGGAGGAGCGCCGGGTGTCACAGCCACACCAGGAGGGCGTGTCCCCAGGGACATGGACGCTTATGCTGAGCGCCTCGCAGCGGATGTGGATGTGGTAGGAGTCGCTCTAGCGGTGTCCTTCTGCTAGAACCACCCGCACCCAGGCACAGCTCCTCTGGGCCAAGCCACTCTGGCCAACTCCTGGCCCTGAGGATGACTGGCGCCCGTGCCTGCCGCTGGCATCAGAGAGCATCGTGGCAGGCAGGGATGCGTCCTAACTTGAGCCTGGCTAACTCCAGGTAGCCCTGAGCCACCAACTTCCATGGAATGGCCAGTGAGAACTGTCTTACTTATCTAACCAGGTTATTTCTTTTTTCTTTTTAAAAAAAAAATATATTTTATTGATTTTTTACAGAGAGGAAGGAAGAGGGATAGAGAGTTAGAAACATCGATGAGAGAGAGTCATCAATCAGCTGCCTCTTGCACGTCCCCTACTGGGGATGCGCCAGCAACCAAGGTTCGATTCCCTTGACCGGAATCGAACCCCGGACCTTTCAGTCCGCAGGCTGATGCTCTATCCACTAAGCCAAACCGGTCCCGGCTAACCAGGTTATTTCTGAGGGCAAGGGCAATGACTTGCTCGTCTGACTCCCTTACAAGGTTATGGGCGGTAGGGGGCATGGGGGAGTACTTCATGAATTTTCAAATTTATGATTGATGACTGGAAGAATAAACTAAAGAACAGGTGAATGAAAGCCTAGTGTTCTGAGATTTAAATAGTTAACAAACTTTCATTCTTAGTCCCTGTATATCCACCCAACTGTCCCAAGCTCCAAGATTTAAAAAAACAACTTCAGTAACAAAAAGCTTCTCAACAGTCTCAGAAGAAGAATGTCCAATTTTTTGCTGAGATCACAGATTGGGGAAGGGATCAGATGCCGCAGGATAAGGCGCCAACACTGATGGGAAGAAACCAGCGCGTGCGTCAGGCCTACCCACAAGTGCCCTGGACTAGAGCCTCAGGTTCTGAAGAAACCTCCCAGCCAGGCAAGCCTGTCTCCAAACCCCACCCCCGGGCTCACATGTATCTGAAAGCCGTAATTCCTCTGGACTGGATACTCCGTGACATCATGACACGTAGACAAGTCAATTTCCCCATCCAAGTCAGCCGCCTGCAGGAACGGAAGAACATTAAGGGATTTAGAAATAACAGTCAAACTAGACAAATCAGTTTTCACAGGGACTGAGTGCTGCCTTTCTCTCGGAGCACAGACCTCGCCTGCGGGATAAAACCAGGCCCCACGCTCCGTGGAAGCATCAATGTCACCACTTTCCACTGCTCCCCGCCCAGGATGCCTCATGGTGACGGTTCTCACACGTGCTGTTAGGATGTCTTCATGCTCTTAGAAATGGAAGTTAGCTTTATTAAAGAGTTTGTGAGCTCTATCTATTGAGATTTACTACAATATATTAGAAACTATAATAAACTAAAAAAAAGTTTAAACATATCTACTCACGTAAGAACACAAATAAGCCCATTTAATTTTAAAATACAAATATTACTTTAAGAAAACAGTGATAAGAGTGGTATTGTTTTGCATTTTTACAAATCTCTTTAATATCTGGCTTTTCTCATCTGTTTCTGCATTCAGTCTGATGGATGCATTGTTTTGGCTGAAGTACATGTTTTGTGAAGTCTGGCCTTACACAAAAAATGGAGTTGAAAAGGGAAGACACATTTAATTCATTCATTCATTCATTCATTTATTCTTAGATTTTATTGATTTTTTTACAGAGAGGAAGGGAGAGGGAGAGAGCTAGAAACATCAATGAGAGAGAAACATTGATCAGCTGCAGGCTGATGCTCTATCCACTGAGCCAAAAACGGTTAGGGCGGGAAGACACATTTAATTCCTCAGATAACTGTGGTCACTTTTTGGTAAGTGGTAGTTTCTTAAAGGTTAACTACAAAGTGGAATCTGAAATCATATCAAAGAACTTTCTGAACCTGGTTACACTACAGCCACAGTTTGCCCTGCCCGCTGAATGGGTCTCTTACCCATGCACCACTGTACAGCGTTACACACTGGTCCTTTGGAAGAGAGCGAGTTACACACACTTCCTAGTGCTGACACATGTCATTTCTAAGGTCAAACACTGCATGTGTCAGCATCACTGCCCATTTGGTCAGTCGAGTCTGTAAGAAAAACAGAGCTGGCTGGTTCCTGATGAATCTATTTCCCAAAGTTCCAGTTTCGGCTTGAAAGCTTATCTCGCAGCACTGGCAATCACCCCTGCCAGTTGTTTTCCTAAAAGGAACAGGCTCACTTGGTTCATTTAGGAAAATGTCTGCTAACCACCCCAGTGAAGGAGCGGCTTGTCTGTCAGTTATACCTTCCGGCGGGGAGGGTGTCCCAGCGGGAGAGGCTGCTCGGCTGGCGAGCAGGCAGGCACAGCCACCAGACTTGAGTGGCAGCACAAGTGTCTTAGGCTTACTTCCCACTTCAGATCACAGAATATTAAAAAGATGGCTCTTCAGTGATTGAGACTTAATGCAATTAGTAACTTTCTATTTTAGTTACTCCTCACCTGAGGATATTTTTTCCATTGATTTTTAGAGAGTGGAAGGGAGAAGGAGGTGGAGGGGGGAAAGAGAGAGAGAAACATTGCATGAACCCTGACCAAGGCCAGGGACCCCTGCAATCCATGCACATTCTCTTGACTAGGAATCAACCCATGATCCTCTGGTGTGAGGATCAGCGCTCTAACCAGTGAGCACACTGGCCAGGGCCATTAGTAACTTTCTTTAACTGTGAGTGTGGTAGTTAGGAATGCATGACCACTGACCATCTGTGGCTGCAGCCTGTGACTGTGCCGAGACACCAACAGTTTCACTCGCCACTGCGTTGGCACCAGTGTAAATGTGAATACAATGAAAAAAGCAAAGAGCATCTTAGTTTTATAACAACAATTTTGAGTATCCCAGCTCCCTAAAGTGTCTCCAGGGTCTGTAGCCCACACTCTGAGAACTGTTGGTTTATCCAAGTGGCAGGCACACACAGTGTGTGGTTAGGCACTTCCATGTGCTTCCGGATCTCCTGACATCAGGCACACCAGGGGCCAGCCCTCACACTAGTCTACACCTGCCCTGTATCACCATTATCTTTCCACTGCACTCCGTTAAAAACTTAGGTTTTTAGGTATAGGGCATGGAAATACCAGTCCCTAATGATAGACATTTAGGTTCTTTTCAGCTTCCTGCTATTAGAAAAGTACTGAATGACTAACCTTGGACATAGACCTTTTACTATTAGGTCTAGTAATAATTAATGTCGTTTTCTAATACTTTTTTAAATCGAATTTATTTAAACAATACAACAAAATTTAATCAACAATATAGTTGCCGTTGTTTTCTACTACTTGTGCCCAACGCTCAGGAAGCATTTTCATCCCACTGTTGTAAAATTCTTGTGATTTTGATGCAAAAAATTCGGTCAATGCATTTTTGAGGCATTCTTCATTATTAAATTTTTTTCCAAGAAGAAAGTTTTGCAAAGAACGAAACAAATGGTAATCGGAAGGGGCAATATCAGGAGAATATGCAGGTTGAGGGAGAACTTCCCATTCCAACTGGCGCAGTTTTTCAGCAGTGATTCTTGCAGTATGTGGTCATGCGTTATCGTGGTGAAGAATTACGCCCTTCCGATAAATCAGCGCAGGTTCTTTTTCTCTTAAAGCTTGGGCTAACCTTTCCAATTGGGCACTATACACTGCACTTGTAATGGTTTGGTTACGTGGTAAAAGTTCATAATGAAGAATTCCTTTAAAATTCCACCAAACACACAACATCACTTTTTTCGCATGCAAGTCAGGTTTTGGCGTGGGCTGCGGAGCCTCATTTTTGTCCAACCATTGAGGCCGCCTTTTCAAATTAACATACAGCACCCATTCTTCATCTCCGGTAACAATTTGCTCTAAAAACGGCAAACGGTTTTGACGAGAGAGGAGCGAACTGCAAATTGTGACTCTTTGATTACGGTTGTTGTCGGTCAACTCATGAGGAACCCATTTTCCAAACTTTTGGACTTTGCCAAGTGCACGCAATTGATTGGAAATTGTTTTTTGTGAACAATTTAAAGTTGTCGCAAGCTCTTGTTGGGTAATTTGAGGATTTTGCACCAAGAGAGCTTGAAGAGCTTCTTGATCAAAATTGGACACACAGCCTCGACCACTCTTGTCATCTAACAAAAAATTTCCCTCGCGAAATTTCTCAAACCAACGCTGGCATTTTTTGGCGCTAACTGCATCTTGACCAAGAGCACTACAGATGTTTTTTGCAGTCTCACTTGCTTTTCTTCCTAATTGGAACTCGTAAAGCATGCAGTGCCGAATATGCTCATCATCTACCATCTTCTTAGCCCTAGTTTTGCAACAAAAACCAAACCAAACACAAACTTTTTCAAGCAAAACTTGTTAATTGCACTTCACACGTTCTGTAGATACCACGTGTTTGAAGGTTATGTCAATACAAGTCAACGCCAAGCAAGATTTTAAACGAATGTTTGAAAACGACATTAATTATTACTAGACCCGATACATGTGGGAATATATCTAAGGATTCCTGGAGTGGAACTACAGGGGAAAGTTAGAAACACATTTGCTAAATTGCTTAAAAAAAAAAAAAAAAAAAAAAAAAAAGGAAGAAAAAAAAAAAAAAAAAAGAATTTTTGTCGGAAAAAGAGCTCCTCTGGGGGTCCTTTGACTGTGGAATCAGGACTGTCGACTGGGCCAACCACGTCTACCTATCATGTTCTATGCTCATCCAGAGGAGAAAGAACAAGATGTTTTAGTTCAGTCTTCAAACGACTCACTTTACCACAAACTCTTACTGTAGAAAAAACAAAACTGCTCATCTTGAGCTTTAAAATAAGACATCTTTGTTTTTCAAAGAAGTTGCTCAAACCTACAGTGCCCAGGTGCCTGAAGCAGTGCCTCAGGAGACCCCACCCCGCCTGCCAGGCAGGGCCAGTGGTGAGCACATCCAGAGCTGGCTGCACTGCGCTCAGACTTCCCACAGGTCTGGACTGGGAAAGCCAAGAGGCAATGCAGACACCATCCACAGTCAGAGGGGGGCTCAGCCCAGAAGCCTTGGGCTCCCAGATGCCACCTGAACCCCTTCCGCCGTCTCCCCAATGGGCTCAAAGCCAAGACACTCACCTCTTCAGCCACCGAATCCCGGTAGTATCTCAGGCTTTGATCAGCAAGGACAAACCAGTGTTTCTTCCACTAAAATGGAAGGGAAAGGCAGACTCAGCTACTACACAGCAAGTCCTGCTCCAAGGGGGCTGGGCCATGTCCCAGAGCACCCGATGAGCAGGCGTACAGGAGGGCAGGGCCTGCCACAGCCGCAGACGCACACACAGAGGAGAGGGCTCACTCAGGCCCAGGCAGCCGTGCACATGGGATTTCCAGGCACTTGTGAAGCCTGGCTCCCCAGGGACGGACGGGGTAGGCAGGGGAGTGCGGTGGGTGGGCTCTCCGTAACCCAGAGGTGTGGCTAGTGAACAGTGCTTCACAGTCCTCAATCTCAACTCTAAGGGCCTGAGCCCTTAGAGCTGAAAGGCGGCTGTGAGATCAGCATTTTCCTTCTAAGGAGGCACCTGGGAGCCATAGCCACTGGCTGGTTACCCAGGGGGTGCACCCAGTGCAGCCAGCAGTGCAAACCAACCAGCCAGATTCCCACGCCGTCTCTGAGAGGAGCAGAGAGGGAGATATGAGTCTCGGGCAAGGCCGAGAGGACTGACAGAGAAGACGTGTTGGCACAGCCACTCGGGTAGCAGGGGGAGAACGTGGGCGGGCAAGGTTCCAAGGCTTCCTGGTGTGACCTAGCAGGCGGCTCCTCATGCCTCCTTGGAGTCTGGCCTTCTAGCCCAACCAGGGTCAAGGTAGGGCTGGCAGGTCCAGGGCTAAGTGGCTCTGCCCGAGTCTGAGGGGAAGAATGTACTAGATGGCTCGCCCAGGAATATGGCTGAGCTGGCATCTCTGACAGTCTTGCTGCCTTCAGCGCTGTCTCCTTGGCTGCCTTGTATGCATACACAAGCCAACCCTACAACCAGAGGCTTTCCGTTCCTGGGAAGCCTGGTCTCTCAGGAAACTTTGAGGGAAGAACAGCAAGTGGGGAGCTAGTGTTGGGGATGGATGTCCCCACAGCCTAAGGCCAAGGTCACTGCTGGGCACAGGAGAGCAGTCCACACCCTGGCAGTAGGTGGGCCTGCTGGCCCCTCTACAGAAGCCTGACCACTGTAGCAATGGGGCTGGGACCCTCCACTTTTCGGAGGAGATGGAGGTCTGCCAGAGGTGGAGGCGGAGCCAGTGCTCATAGACCAGCCAGGGGGAAGGCCAGCTCGGCCTGCAACTGCTCCCAGCCTCTCAGAAACCACAGCAGCTCTGCATACGAACCTGGCCATCCTCGTACTGCTTGGTCAGCCAGCCTTTCTTGAAATTCAGCAGGTCAGGCTGAGAAAAGAAAAAGAACAATTCAGAGGAAACACTCTGGCATCTGTCATGGGCAAAGGGTGACTGACAGAGCACACATTTCTGTCTAGATCTAACGGACACTAGGAAAAGGGGTTTCTTCACCTACCAGATAAGCCTGCATGGACCCCCTTGCCCCAGTGGGCACTGCCTGCTGCCCACAGGCACACACAGCTGTAAGGAGCAAGATGTGAGGATGGGTAGGCTACTGTGAAGGAGACCCCGCCTCCCACCCTGCAGCGGGCTGGCTGGTGCTGAGACAGGCCCTTGCTCCATCTTCCTGGGAGGCACAGAAGATCGGCCCAGACCGAGAGCCAATGAGCATATTATGTGAAGGGAAGATCTGCAGTGGCAGCTAGAAGGAGAATTCATAAGTTCTGCAGAAGCCACAAAAGACAGAGAGAGAGAGAGAGAGAGAGAGAGAGAGAGAGAGAGAGAGGAGACCACTGAGCAGAGGCCTCTGGTTTTCAGCCAGACACAGCAGCTATCGTGCCAAGACCCTCAGGCCACTTATCTGTACCAGGATGAAGTTGAGTCTCCCTTTCTTTACAAGGAGCAAAACTAGGACAACAGACAATGAAGCAGGGGGTGCAGGACCACCAGTGGGGCCGGAACAAAGAGCTCTCCCAGCTGGTCCCTCCTGCCCTGTGCTGTCCACACCCCCGTGGGGATCCCCTGCTTGTATTACGTCTAGTACCCTGTACAGCTGCTACCTGAGGGACACGGATCAGCCTTCCTCTAACCCTCCATACTCTCTGCTTTCCTACCACCATCCTGAGCAGAAGCAGGCTTTGGCGTCTTCCTGTACTCCGGGGCCTGGGAGGAGTGAGAGAAGGGATGTGCAGTGGCAGGACAGTGACCAACAGCATCTGTCCTGGGAGTCTCTGCTCCAAACCCTGGAGCAAAACTCAGAACTCAAGGAAAAACAAAACTTCCTCAGGTAAGAAACCTCCTGTCCTTGCGTCAAAGTTTCATGTCAGTCAGGCTGGTGGCTGCACGCCCTGGTGAGGAAGCGGTGGCACGGGCCCTGGGCTCCTCAGGAGGCGAAGGACAAAGGCCGTGAGGAGCCTCAGGCCACCCCCAGGGCCTCCAGCCTGTCACTGCTGGAGGGAGTGATGGTGCCACCTTGACTCCCTCTTGCCATTCCCTACCTGCACCCTCACTCAACCGACCTGAGCAAGGGCCTGTTCTCCCACTGCGGGGAAATCCCAGCCAGAGGGCTTCAGTCTCCAAAACGTCATAGGAACAAACACCCCAAATAAGAAGAACCGGGGTCTTTGCTTTGGCCCCGATCCCTTGCAATCAGGATTCTGCCGCCTTGGCCAGGTGGCTACCTCTATGGGACCCCAGCGCACAGGGGGTCACCAAAGCCCAGGAAAGGAAAAGAAACAGAGCAGCTGTCCCATCACAGACACGAAGCCCGTGGAAGGGGCTCCAGTACAGATGTACGGGCAGAAGCAGACAGTGACCTCCAGGTACAGAAGCGGCAGGAGCAGCACTCCAGGCCTGGGTGCTTGGGCGCCTGGGCTCACCGTCAGTGAGGACTCCATGGACCTCCTGTCCAGTGACTTGGCTCTTCGGTGTGGAGACAGGGGGGAGGCTGAGGCGTCCGGGAGAGGAGCTGTGGGGGCTTCATTGGGGAGGTCCTGTGGCAGAGAGTAGCCGCCAGTCAGTACTGTCAACTCAGGCAGGAAGCAGGGAGTCCGGCTGTCAGAGCTGTGGAAGGGTCAGGACTGTAGGGACCTTGTTCCCAAGCGAGGCAGCTTTTGCGGGCAGGCAGAGGACAGGAGCCTCTGTCTAGCACCTTCTGCTTTGCTTCTGGCAGTGGGATCTGAGATGCCCAGGCTGGTGGAGCAGCCTTGTCTCCCAGACACACCAGTCACCATCAGTCCTGGACCCGGCCACCGCTGCTTCTTGGGTCACAGAAGGAAGAGCCCTGAGTTACATGGCTGCAAGCAGAGCAGCAGGTCACCTCAGGGGCCCAGAGAGAATCTGAGTAGGAGGAAGATGAAGATCAGACAGGCAAGGCCACAAGGCGGTGGACAGCGCAGGGGGACTGGGAGCAGTCCACCCTGTGGAGTGGAGAAAGGAGGGCTGTGGCTGCCACTTGAAAGAGAGACAAGAGGTGTCCGGGCTCGTGGCCGGCCGCCGCAGAGAGGAAGAGAGGCTCTGGTCCCACCAGGGACTTCATGCCGCAGAGCAGCCTCCGTTGAGATAAACAAGTTCTGATAGGAAGAGCAGAAGGCAGGCTCTTCTTTAAGAAGGTCACTCATTGGAGAAGGAGATGAGAGACCCAAGCAAATGACTGTGAACAGAGAATGGGGAGCCCGGCAGAAGTGTGTCAGAGTGTGTGTGGGGCCTCAGAGAGGGCGAGGCCATGTGTCCCATCCAGAGCTCACCCGCTTCCTGGGGAATGCCCTCTTCTCACTACGGCCCTGGCGTGTGTCACTTGATGGTGAGTGCCCAGCTGACAAGTTGGTCTCCATGTGCTCTGCCTTCTCAATGTCCAAGGCTTCAAATTTCTCAATGACCTGAGACCTCCTGCAAGAGAGGACAGGAGGCTGCTGGGGGGAGACAGGGCCACCCAAGAACAAGGTAGGTTTGGTCTCAAGTTGCAGAGAGGCTCCTTCAAGGCACCCCCTCACACTGGCCCACCCTAGCCTTCCCTGGACCTCCCCTGCACAGTACACCTGGCCCTGACGCCCCTCCCTGAGCTCCCTCTCCCCCTGCAAAGGGTGGAGCTGTGCAGGGTTGGGCATCAGCCCCCCCCTTCCCCCAACACTGGAAGTCCCTAATGATCTGTTATGATGACACACTTGGCAACCACACAGCCCATCAGCAGCGTCCTCCCCTGAGCAGACATGATCAGAAGGCAGTCACATGTGGAGGAGACGGACGCCCAACCTCACTGAGTATCTAGCAGATCATAATGCAGACCCCATCCCAAAGGTCCAAAATTTAGCAAGAAAAAGGCCCATGAATTAACATTGTTCTGCCAACAGTAAAAGAATCAAAAAACAAATCAAAACAAAACAAAGCAAGTTGATTTCATGTGAAAGGCCGGCGGCATCATCAGGCCATCTATGGCTGGAGACGGAGCTGAGATGGGAGCGAAGCAGCGGAGGAGGGGCGAGTAACGTCATACAGCGACACAGCAGGAGAAGGTGGAGAGGGGCAAGACCTGAAAGAAAATAAGGCTGGAGAATAAATAAACAGAAAGGACTGCTTTTTAAATCAAATAATGGTAAATCAAAATTATTCAAAGAATCACAGAAACAAAACCCGAGGTGACATTGAGGAGGGCAGACCACCTTCCTTGCAGAGTCACGAGTGTTTGCCCCGTGGGCGTGGCAGGGAGGGGCACCCCAGGGGCCTGGATGAACGTTGGCAGACCACAGGACAGAGGCCTGCCCCCCACAGGGACACCCAGGCAAGTGCCCGGAGGTGCCTTCAGGGAGGGTGTGCATCCTGGACAAGTGGCAGGCCGAGGGAAGGGACTCTGAGTTCTAGGGAAGAAGAGAGGAAGCAGCCTCAAAACCTGAGACCCGTCCCTCACCCAGACCAGCTTTTTTCAGTGAGGGTTTCCATTAAACATGGTATTTTAGGATTTCTTTATCAAGGAAGGCTTAACACCAGGGCAGCACATGGGGCACCTGCAACCTCTGCACTTCCCTGTGCTTCCACGAGAAGAGTGGGAGCCCCAGTGCACTGAGCTTCTGTGGACTCTCCTCCAGACACAAAACTTATCCCTGGCCAGCCTGCCGGAGCAGCAGTGCAGGAGGCTGAGGGGCAGCAGCGGGAGAGGGCATGCGTCTGAGCACAGGAAGCTACGGCAGAGGCAGGAGTTCCAGGACCATAGGATGCTCTTGCAAAGGCTCGCCTGGTCAGGCAGATGATGCTCCCCCCATGCCTGACATCCCTGTGAGGTCTGATAAGATTCCAGGCCCCTTCGAGGCCTCAGAGCCACTGCTTGCTGAAGGAGAGCCCCATTCACGGAGGCCAAGGCCCAGGAAGCCCCAGGGAGGCCATAGGAGCAGCGCCTGGCCGAGTCCATGAGACTGCCTGCTGCAGAGCTGCCAGGGTCGCAGGAGGCGGGGTCCGTGAGAGACGAGGAGAGAGGCTCTGTCTGCAGCCTCTCCACAGGGATAGGCTCTGTGAAGTCAGCCATGTTTACTTTTCACACTGGGAAGTTTTAAACTTGGGTCCCTAGATGTGTTGCCTCCTTGAAAACTCCGCCCTGCACTGGCTGACAGCACAGGAAGGGGGCGCTGCACCGCCGCCAACCTCTGGGCTCTCAGCCCAGGGCGCAGGACCGCATGGAGCTGGCCCTGTGTGAGTCACCAACAGTTCAGCGAGGGCCATGTCCTCCCCACGCTCACTCAGCAGCAGCTCACCATCCAAGGCCTGTTTAAAGGCCTGGGAGCGAGTCTGCAGGCAGAGCTGAGAGCCCAGAGGACTGTTTCAGGGCCATAACTTTTCAGGAAACCAACTCATCACCCCCCAACCTGGCCTCGTTGCCACGTTGGGTAGCTGTGGCTGACACTGCCAACGTGGGGGTTTTACTCTACTGGGGGCAGGATCAACCACGCACAGGTCAGCCACACAGGACCAGAGAGCAGGCCTGGGGAAGTGTCAGCAGCCAGTCAGATGCCATCGGGGCCAGTAAGAAAGTGACGTTACAGTGTTAGGGTGCAGAGCCGGTTGGGTCCCAGGGGTGCCAACACCAGGTAAAAACCCACGGTAGCAAAGAACATGCAAAGCCCCAGAGATGCGGCCAAGCCCAGGCCTGGAGATCAGAATGAATTCAAAGCCAAGCAGGTGAGCTGAATGTTAATTCTCTGGTATGCACTGAACCAGTGGCCGCCCCACCATCGCCTTCCCAATTCACAGCCTGCCGCAGGCCAGGGCGGAGCCGTCCCACCCTGGCGGCTGGCCTCCTAAGCCCCTAACCAGTCCCTTCGGTTACACATTTCCTTAACCACTTATAGGACAGCCCAATCACGCTGTGGGAGCAGGGCCTTCCCAGCTCAGGGCCTAGCGGGTATGTGTCTACTGCTCCAGCGGTTCCCAGGGGAGTCACCCTGCTTCTGAGCCCCTCTCTCTGCTGGCGCAGGCCCCTCAGGGGGTTACTAATGAAACAGGAAGCCAGCCCTGTCTCTTGGAATTAGGAATATTCCGTCGTCTTCTCTTTCAAGACCAACCACTGTGGGTGTCTTTTCTTTATGCTGGAGATGAACCCGCAGGAGCACAGGTTCTCTCACCTGGGGCATGTGGAGAGTGTGGAGGTGATACAGAGAAGGGAGCACAAGAGGAAGGCACCCTATGCCGGTTCAGCCCCTTATGGGAGCCCATTGTCACCCTGGCCTGTCGCCACAGCATGCCTCAACTCTGAGCCTTCTTAGGCATTAGTGGAATAGTGAGGACACTGTGAACACTTCTGGAACTTTTCTGGAAAGTGAACTTCTTTGGGAATCTAATGAAAACTATGAATTTTTTTCTACGGGAAACCCCCCTTCTCCCCCCCCCGACTTTCAAATGGTTTTAGAGACCCAGCATCCTAACAGTGATCTGGGCGAAAACCCTGCTGTTGGGCAAACAGAGACCAAGGCTCTTCCTTACCCTTAGTAGGGGGGAAGCTGTTATATGAGAGGGGCACTCGGGCGCTCTGGTGCAGACAGGGGTGTGGCCTCAGAGTCAGAATCAAGCAAGTGCTGTAGGAAGAACTATGCTGCCAACCCATGCCCCGGCCATGGCCACCTTCCCTGCCTCTTCCACACCTGGACCTGGGAATGGCAAGGAGAATTCCTGCTACCACCTGCACCTCTGCGGGCTCCCTGCCTCTGCTGTCTCTTTAGAGACCAGAGCTGGGCCGGGAAGGAAAAGATCCAGCCACTTAAGGCCTGCAGATGAGGATCCTCCCAGAGGCCCTTAAGTCCCAGGCTAAGAAGCACTCATGGGGAGCAGCTGGCTCCTGGCCTAAGCCTCTGGGTACTCAGAGATCCTACACTCTAACCCCCAGGAGCTGAGTTCTGAAACCAGAATGCAGGGTCAGGAGGGGAAGGCTCCCCACATGCTCTGAGTGTGCTTCCCAAGCAAGGCTCAGGAAACAGGTGTATGCGGAGAGGACACGGGGAGGGAGAGGAAATGTGTAAAAAACTGTGTGAGAAGAGTGTGTAACAGTATGTGAGTGTGTGAGACTATGTGTGAGGATGTGTGTAAGAGAAAATGTGGGAGTGTGCAGGAGAGATGTATACGTGTGTGTGTTTGTGTGTGTGCGTGTGTGTAAGGGGGTGGGGGCGCAGAGGGATCTGTGTGCCTGTGTATGCACGTGCTTTCAGCCCTCCAATTCCCTCCTTACCTCCGCTCGTAGCCAAACAGACGGGCCACCTCTTCCCTGCCAGGGCTCCGGGCCCGAGTCCTACGCTCCAACCGCCTCCTCTCCACCTGGAAGGCTTCTCGGTGGCTGATCCTGATGGCCTTAGGGATGTCGGCCAGGGCGGCATACTGCCTGCTGGCTTTAAAGGCAAAGGTGCACCCCAGTCTCTCTGCTCCCCGCCCCCCCGGGCTGCTGGAGTCCACATGAGCAGGAGGCTGGCTGGCCACATCCAGAGAGCCGAGGGAGCTGCTGCAGACCATTCGACACAAGGGTTGAGAACCTGGAGAAGGAAAGGGATGACCAAGCTCCTGGGAGGGTGGTCCAGGGCCACTGTACCTGTTGTTGGGGGTGCTGGGGCTGGGAGGGGAGACCGGCTGGGGCAGTGGATGCTCCTCGGCCTTCAAGTCCTGCTTGGTCTTCTCCAGGGAAAAGTAGCCACTCTCCACCCGGACTTTGCGGCCACAGTCCATGCGGTCGCTGCTCATGGCGCTCTCCTCTGGAAGCGAGGGGCAGGAGACACACTCAGCCTGCTGCCACGCTTGGTTTCTGAGGATGTTTTCTCCAAGCCCACACCGATCCAAGCAGGGGCCTCTCTGCTTCCACCTCCAAAGGCCCACGTGGCTCCCCAAGGCAGGTGGTGGGGACACATCTCCTTCCCGCTGAGCCTTGTCCTCTCCCTACGTGGCTGCCTCTTGGCAGACGGCCAGGGAGGCCCTCCCCTTCCCGCCTGGGAGCTTGACTGGAAGAGCAGGACCTTTTCCCCTGCCCTCCAAAAAGATGTCCCCCAACAACTACTTCTTAGCAAGTATCCAGGAGGAACCAACTAGCCATTTATCTTTGAGTATACTCATGTGTTTGGGGAGGGAAAGGAAAAAGGCTTGTATGAAACCAGAGGAGTGAAGGGATTTTAGACAGACTGGGTGTGTGCTCCCCAATGAGAATGGAGGCAACGACTGCTCAGAGCTGGGTCAGTCCCAACTGCCCACTTGTCTTTACTGATATAGACTCAGCACAACAGGAAGAGCCAGCCTGCGTCTCACCGAGCCGTCCAGGGCTTGGACAAGGAGGCAGAAGCCGCTGCCCTGCTTTGCTCAGGCCAAGTGCTACGTGGAGAAACCACGGGGAGGCCAACGGCTTCCTCCCCAGCACCCTCTCCCCGCTTCCTGCTCTTAGGGACACAGTGGACTTCTGGGGTTAACTTGCCATGAGAATAAAGCAGCCACAGGGTCGGAAACAGGCCTTGTCACATACAGACCAGATCTCCTCCCAGAGCATTCGGACTCTCAGCACCCTTCCGGGGCGTGCAGCACGTGCCGCCCTCAGACAGGCCTCACAAGCCGGAGCCCAGGAGGTGAGAGAGCCTGAAGCGTGGACTCACGGCTGAACTGAGCAGGCTCCTGAGGGAGCCCCCAGGGCCACCGCTGTAGGGACAGAGGCCTTCCAGCACTGTGAGGAGGACACCAGGACAGGCGGGCACTTACGCCAGCCTGGCCACACTTACCATCTTCACCCTCCAGCCCAGGTTCCCTCAGGGCGCTGGTAGCAGGAGCCTGGCTCTGGCTGGGACTCTGAGCTGGACTCAGGCTGCTCTCCTCTGGCTGGTCCTTGGCCCTCATTTCTTCCTGCCAGAGTGTAGACTTGGTGGTGGGGACTTTCTCGGCGCTGGGGATGCTGCTGCTGCTGGTGACAGCCATCTTGGCTGGCCCTGGCTCCTGGGGAGAGAGCACACAGCCAAGCTAGTGTAGAGGGCCTGGGCGCCTGGGGATTTGGCTAAAAGGACACCTAGACCAAAGACACAATGCAGAGGCCCAGAATTCCCTAAAGGAAAGGCTCACAAAAGAGAGGTGTCTTGATTGGGAGAGAAGCTCCTTCTGGATGGTGATATGGCCTTTTCTCCCAAGTGCTCGGTGACCTAGGCCTCAGGCCAGGGTTGGCAAATGCATGGAGCAAAGGCTTACGGTTTCTGTTCATATTCTCAACATCAAACACATGCAAGTTCTCCCTCCCACAAAACCAGTCAGAGCCCAGAGTAGCGGACCAGGCATTAGAGACCAGACCCCAAGTGACTGGTTCCGAGTCTGTCATTCCCAGACTTCCAGGTGCCCAGGATATGAGTGAGGGGAGCTGAGACGAGGTGAGGAAAGACCACACCGTGGAGGTGAATGAAAAGCATGTGTTCACACAGCATCCACACCAGGACCAGCTCTTAGCCTCACCTACCCTCTTTTTTTTGATCCTAGGACGCTAAAATGAACCTGGTACCGTTTAAAGGAAGAAGTCATTAGATGCAAACGTAAACCTGCTCACACCCTCCTGCCTGGCCCCCCTACAAGTTTGATGGGAACCTACAGCCCAGATGGGAACAGTCTCACCCCATTGCTCCCACGTCGGAGTGGTACTGCTCTGTAGGGAAGCATGTGCACAGGATGCGTTTGATACAAGGGTCCGTCCCAGAGCCCACAGGGACCTTCCAGGTCACAAGCCAGAGCCCAGAATTGGGGGTGGGTTGGGGGGAGGGGGTGACTGACACAGGCAGCACACAGAGAACCTTCACTCAACACTGCAAACCGGAGCTGAGACACGGGTGGAGCTGAAACCAGGGTGGCACCCTGCAGTGCCAGCTCACACCCTGGCCAAGCCCCTGCCCAGTCCATGGTCCTGGGTGCCAGCTAATTTGGGCCCTATCAAAAGTGAAGTAGATCTTAACTATCTCCCCTGAAACATGGGCAATAAAGTACAATGGCCACTTTCCCACTTCCATCCTGGTGGCCAAGCCTCATGCCTAAAAACCTACTTTTACGCCTCTCTGACTTGGGGCTCTTGTGAGGGTCTAGATGCTGCCACCGGCTGGATGTGTGCACATGCAGACACAGGAGCCCACCAGTGGTCATTCACCCACAGCTACACAGAGTTGACTCATGTCGACTCTGTGCTGGGCTCTGGCTTGGCACCGCCACATCCCCACCCCACCCCCTCACAGGGAAGGGAGAGGCCTGCTCAGCCAGTAAGGGAAGAGTGAGGTGCCAGGCGCTGTAGGGGCGGGAGAAAGGTCCAGGTTAGAGGCAGGTGCCTTGGATGGGCATCCTGGAGGCTCCACCGAGAGGCCTCGGTACCAAGCCTCACGGGAAGGAGAAGGGCAGGATGGCTTTTCCCCAGACCCGGGACCACACGGCCTCCCACTGTGTCAAAACTACCGGCAGACCCAATTCCTAGGCTGAAATTCCCAAGATTTTTGACTCCTTCAAAAGAAGGGCACTTCTCGGAAGAGGAATGGTTTCTGGCAGTTCCTGAGGGGTCCACTGACCTAAGGAGACCCGACTGCAGGGCTCCGTCCCCTCAGGCAGCACACTGCCCTCGCTTCATGCCCCGCAGCCAGCCGGCTCCAAAGTGCCAATGGGCTTGGGTGGAGCTGGATTCCTCCCGCAAAGCTGGGTGCGGTGTGGGGAAGGCCCTCCTTGGTGAGTCATCCCCTCTATGGAGGGGTGCTAGACCGGGGCAGGGAGAGGCTGCCAAAAAGGGTAAAGGGTAAGGGACAGGCAACTGTGTCCCCAGCCCCATCCTGTGGGTGAAGTGCCTGTGACACACAGGCAGCCCTTTGATGCTTGGGGTCATGACCCTAGCCCTGAGGAGGGGATAGAGTGGCAGGAATCCCCAAGAGAGAGAGAGAAAATTCCAGGCCTGAGATATGAGGGGCCATGTCCGGGAACTGGGGGAACATGCATTTCCCAGCATAAGCAGCTACAGACCCGCCTCCTGGCCTGGCCTCCCAGCCTGCGCAGCGCTGGCAGCTGCACTCCCTGCCCCGCTTCTGAGCTCCCGCTTCTGGGCTCTCCGGCCCACACGGAGCTCTCCCTCCTGGGGCAGCGGCAGCGGTGCCTTCTCCGCCTCTGTGCCAAGTGGGCAGGGACAGCAGGTATAGAGCCATGCTGCCTCTAGGAGAGGGTGGATAGGGGGGAAGCCTGGATTCGGGGAGAAGTCGCTTTTCTTCTTCAGAGTTAAGACAGTGCACAAGCCAGGCCAGGGCTGCACGGCACCAACCTCTGCTCCCCGCACTGTCACCACTGTGGCCGAGGGCGCTGGGCTCATGCTGACCCAGGGCCTGGCTGCCAGGAAAAGAGGCAGGAGTGGAAGCACTAGTTTTCCAGGGCTGGTCTGTGTGGCAGGACAGCTGCAGTGCGCAGGATGCCAGCACTGGAACAGTCTGTGCTTGCACCTGGCTGCTCAGAGGTTTCCCTCGCAGGAGGAAGGCAGGCCGGCCAGGGCCTCTGTCTCTGCACAGCCGGGAAGTCTCCTCTTTGGAGGCAGTTTCACAGAGCCTTCCTCTCCCTTCTTGGGCGTGGAGAGCAAGCAGGAGGAGGGTTCTGGTTGGGACAGGGCATCAGAGCAGGCTCCCAAGTAGAAAACAAGATGCCGAAGAAGCAGAGGTGGCAACTCACAGCGCATGTGTGGCCCTGGATGGCTGGAGTGCTAGACCAGAGGGACGTTCCTTCTGGAAAGTTTCATTATGGTCTCGGAAGGCAGGAGCAAAGACCAAAAGCCTGGGGGCTGGGAGCTGGAGGCTCAGCCTCCCAAAGCTTCACTTGACAGAGTGAGCCCCGCCTGCACACCGGGCTGGGAGACGTGTCCCCGGGCTTTACAGCTCTGGGACTTGGGGTGAGGGCAGAAAATCTCCATTCTTCCTGCCCTGGTCATACCCAGAGTAGATGACTGTCCCTTCTCTAGGTAACTCAGCACCATGAAAAGTCCTCTTGGAGTGAACAGGGCCCGAGTAAAGAGCAGTTCCTGGGCCCATGCCTATTGGGTCGCAGGCTTCGAAGGCTCTGGTCAGGGCAAGCTTGTCCCTCCTCTTGCCCTGGGCCCTGGCTGAGAGGTATGTGCCCTTCTTGCAGCCTAATCCTCATTCTCCTTTAGGGCTCGGCTTGGGCCTCTCTCCCTCCCTCTCCTTTAGATGTTCTCAGTAAACCCCTCAGTGCCTATACTCTATGGCCCAACTCCCAATTGCCTGAGACCCTCCTGGGCTCCCGCCTCAGTGGCCAGATGGCAGGGCGCAGCGGAGCAATGTTTCCAGCTCCCCGCTGGTCTGACCCGAAACTATCCCGGGCCACAGACAGGCCAGGCCCCTGGATCCTTATCCCTACGAGGCCCTATTGGCTTAGGCTTTCCCCACGGTCCCATTTGGGTCACTAGAATACCTTCAGCATCGGACTGCGGAGGAAAACCCTCCTCTGGCAGGCCCCACATCACCCCAGGGGACTGCCTATAGGGGCTGGCCCCTGGTGAAAGTTCACAGCTCCCAGAAACCAGTGGCCTCAATGTGATGCTCTGGAAAGCAGGTGGCAGAAGGAAGAAATCATCCCAGCTGGCTCTGCCAGGGCTCACGAGGGCTGTGTGAGAAGACTGGGCCCCGGCGCCCAGGCTCTCAGAGCCCCTCAGGAAAGGGGGAACCTCCCCACACTCTGACCACATGGCTCCTGCGCCAACTGAAAAGGTGAAGCTTGCAGTACTTGAGGTGATGAGATGACATTAGGGGAGGGACGAGAAACAGCTAGGGAACGAGAACACACCGAATTCCCAGGTCTGGCTCAGTGTCCCCGCACACTAAGTGCTTTATTTGGAGAGGGCAGCTTACCTTGGAAATGCTCAGAGCCTAGGCACTTACACTATCTGGGATTTTCTTTTCTCTCAACCCAGGCAGCGCTGGGGGACTTGCATGTGCATCTGCTATCCCCAGCGGAAGCTCCATTCCAGTCCAGGAACGACTCTGCTGGCATTGGGCCAATTTCTTGCCAGGGACATTAGTTCTAGGAGGATCCCTTGGGGAGGATGAATGGAGGGCAGGCCCCAGTGCACTCCATCAGCAGGAAGCCAGGACGTGCATGTTCGGAGGAACCCACCAGGTGTGGGGATGAGGGAGGAGAAAGGGACCCAGGCCAGCACACACCTCCTGGTCCTGGCCCAGGCCGACTTCTGTCACTCGGTGAAGCAGAGAGCAGATAATGAGGCCTACTAACCTCAGGGGTGGCCTGGTTCTCCCATGGGCTGGCTCTCTGCCAGGCTCTGAGCCTTGCTAGATGCCAAGGGATCCCATTCACTATCCTGCCCACTCTCAGGGTCACTGTAAGGCTCGATCAGGCAAGGCAAGAAAGAGCACTTGGTAATGGTCAGGTGTGGAGCAGAGAGGAAAAGAAGAACACTTACAGAACACCTCAAACGGGCCCAGTGTTTCCTTTCCTGGTTACAATAGTAGTCTAACTAGACTTCAAGAGGCTCATTTGCAAATCCATTCACAGAGGCTCAGGAAGGTTAATTTGCTACCCAGGGCCCCAAGAGTGTGGAGCATGGCATGGAGTTGCAAACCGCCTTCTGGTACTCTGAGCCCCTGTAGATGGGAGGGAGGGAAGGAGGAGGAAAGTGACCTCTACGGAAGGACTGGAACTGGTAAGACACCCAGCCCCTCCCACGCCGGTCACATGGGAATGGGGCAATGGCACAGAAATCAGGGCTAGCGTCAGTTTTTCCCATTTATGGTCAAAGCCCAGAGCAGGAGTAAGGTCCCCTGAGAGCCCCTCACTTGGCCAGGACACTCCAGGGCCTCGCGGCCCAGCCCCCCTTCCCAGTCTAGGTCTTCAGGGTCCTCTCTCTATGGAAAGTGGAACTGAGCTGAGGCCATGAGGAATGTTGTGCGGCAAGCAGCCCCTCCCAGCATGCTCTCTGTCCCCAGCAGCAGGCAGGACAGCCAGGAGAAGGGACATGCCTCCTGGCTGGGAGCTCCGTGCACACAAGCAGGCCGCCCTATCCCTGTAGTGGTGCTACTGTGGCTCAGAGAGGAGCCCTGGGTCATCAGAAGGAAGGAGGGAGACAGGCTGGGCTGACGACTGCCTCAGCCCTGACCCGACTCCTTCCTCCACCCCCAGGTTTAGGATGGGTCCCCAAGCCCTCCCACTTCCCAGCTCTGCTGGGGAGAGGCCACCTGGCAAACGCACTGCCTACCTGTGGTGTGGGAGGCTCCACTTTCCGCTTCTTCTTCTGGTTCTGCTTGTTGGTCCTGGGATAGACCATGAGCATCTCTAGCCATCTGGGGAGAAAAGAGAAGACAGCGGTCAGACCACTGTTCTCGGACATGAGGACCCTGCTTTGTTGAGTGGCCCAAGCAGGTCCCATGCTCCTCTCAGTGGCCAGGCCTCCGAGCAGCTGAACAGGGTCAGGCACCAGCAGGTCAGGGGCAAAGAGTGCCAGCAGTGCAGCCCAGCACAAGCAGACCACGAGGACCAGGCTCAGGTGCTGACCCTGCAATGGCCACGGTGCAGATGGCCCAGGGAGGACGTGAGCGCCGCCGTGGCAGAGCAGCAGGCCTGGCCACTGGCCTCAGAGTGCAGCGCACGTCACTGTTCCCAGCACTCCCCTCCCTTCAGTGCTTAGACCTGGCTCTCGGACTGTCCTCTAGAATGGATTTGGTTAGCAACCTTGTTACTACTGCAGGCCGCTCACGGTTCTTAAAGCAACCGAAGTTCCTCACGTCAGGTCACTGGCCTCCTAGACCATTTAATCACTCTGGCCCCACCTCTACAGTGAGGGCGCTGGGCCCCTCGGCTTTGGTGAAGCCTGACAGGGCTGTCAAGGGACCCACAGCAGGGCCCACACGCTAAAAAGTCCACTTTGGAGCAGCATCAAGAAAGGGAGCAGGAGAGCGTAGGAAGGACAGAGGGCTTAGATCTTGATGGGCTCCCCTCTAACCACACCTTGTATGGCTCCCAGTCCTCTAAGTTTCAGCCGTTATCTTCGAAACCAGGGCCTAGCTTAGGCCACGGTGTGACCACGGTTGTCTCATTGGAGCTTTTAACATTTGGGAGGGTTTGGGAAAGGGGGCAAGAAGAGCGGAGGTGAGGAGAACTGGCGGGGATGGCACCAGGGGAAACTGGCCCACTTCCTCCCAGAACACTGGGGTCCGTGCTACGTCTGCCTGTGACAGGGGCCGGGTTGTGGAGGCAGCGTCTGCACTGGCAGCACTTGGCTGGAGGCTGCTGTGACAGCCGGCACCCCAAGCCTGGGGTGCGGGGAAGGGCTGGTCTCTTGGCACTCAGAGGTACTTCTTTAATTTGAGGTGCAGGGAGGCTGGTCAAGTCAGCAGCCTTCTGGGAGGTGTGCTGCTGCCAGGAGAGTGGGCTTGGGCTGGGCTGTGAGGAATCACAGCACCTGAGCTGAGGGACTCCCCTCACTCCAACTCAGTCCAGAACAGGCTGATTTGTTGAGAGAATCCATATTGCCTGTGCCCTTGAGCCTGAGGCACAGGCCCTGCAGGTCACTTTTCTGTGAGCTCCAAAGCCAGCAGAGAGGCAGACTCTCAAAGGGCCTCACTCGGGTAACCTAGCAGCTAACAGGCTTGTGGGGTTTCTAGGCTGCCCAGGGGCTGAAAGCTCTTTGGGGCAACTCTAAGGCCCTCCTACAGCTGAGCCCAGGAGGGAGGAGCGGCAGCTCAGAACCGCTGAGTGCAGTGCGGGAACATGGCAGGCAGGTGCAGGCCCTTTGGGGTGCGCTGAGCCCCTGCTCACTGGCCTAGCTGCTGTCAACTCGCACCACCACGGAGCTGGGCAGGTGTGAGCCTTGCAGGACAGGCCTGAGGGAAGAAGAGGTGGGCACCGTGGTTGCACTGCTGACTAAACGGAGCGCCTGCAGGTCCTGCCAACACGAACGATGCAGACTCAGGTGAGCACACAGTGAGGTGGCCAGGGTCACCGGGCACCTCAGTCCCCGGTTGGTGGCGCTGTGACTAGAGGTTGATAGATACCTGGCCCTGAAACAAACGATGAGATGTGTTCTCTGCACTCAGATTTCTCAGGGAAGCCCGGGAGGCTAATGTGTCTAACATTAACCAGAGAGGCTGTGAATGTTAAATATATCCAGGGAAGAGAGGTGGGGTGAATGTGGACATGGGATTAGTGGTGGATGTGGGCACCAGGGACATAGGTGGTCCCCAACTTCAAAGGCAGGGACAGGTGAGAAGAGAAAGTCCTGACGCAGCCCAGCTGGAGGGCACAGAGGAAAGGAAACCCTAACACCTAACCCTGCCTCTCCCCACTTTGCCCATCCCCACCTAAGTAAGTCCCACCCCTAAAAGAGCTGTGTGAACCAGTGCCTCAAACACCCTAGAGGTCCCTCCAGCATGAGGAAACTGGGGGAGAATGACCACCCTCCATCCAGCCCAGGCAAGACCCGGGCTGTTCAGGAGGCCCCACCTCCGAGGAGGCCCGGGAAGAGCTGAAGGGCCATTGGCTCCCCTCGCCGGCCAGAAGTGTCTGCACCTCTTTAGGGACCCCAGAGCTTAGGCCAATTGTAGGGCCCCAAGCCGACAGATGACGTTACTCAGCCTTCATAGGACCCAGAGGCAGAGAGGAAGCCAAGGGAAGAGGGTTCTTCTGGAAAGAGAGAGGCAGAGAAGGGAGAGAAGATGGTGCCAAAGTCCATTTCCAGGCACACGGCCACCTGACTCTAAAGGAAACCCGAGTGTCCCGGTGGGTAGGAAAGATGAAGCTGCTGCCCCAGTCCAGAAGGACTGCGGGGCTGGGGTAGGCTGCCGTGCAGAGAGTCCTGCCCACTGGACAAGAAGGAGAGGGCAGGCCTAGGACCCGAAGGGGAAAGGCAGTCACTTGAGTTATTTTGGCTCTGGGTATGCCACTGAGCCACCTCCCAAGGCCCCTGCCCTTAAGACTGGTCAGTTAACTGCCACAATATTTTGAATTTAATTGATAAAGGTCCGCCGCTTGCTTCTGTAGGTGCTTATGCGTACAAATGGCTACACTGGGGACCCTGAGGGCATACACGCCGGGTGCCGTGGCCCCGTAATGACCTTGTGCATCACTGTGATTTATAACAAATGTGTATTTGGTCACTCAGATGACCAAAACCGATTTCTCATGTGTAGGTGGTTTATGTCCACAATGCCTAGCTCAGCACTCTCAAAACCCATGGACTTTCCTATGTGAGAGGGCTAAAGGCACCTCGAGTGGTTAGTGAGCGACCCTGGGAAGCGCCTATGGATGGGCCTGGCTGTCAGGAGAACCAGCCACATGATTAGCGAGTTGGAACTTTCAGTCTCACACCCCCATCTTTTTTGGAGGCGGGAGGACCGGAGGTTGAATCAATAACTAGAACAGGCCTATGAATGGTCTTCATCAACCCAAAAGGACAGAGTTCAGAGAGCTTGCCGGCTGGGAGCCAGAACGGGTTCCACGCACCATGAGGACAGAAGTAATGTTGTGTGAGACCTCGCCCTACACATCTGGCTTTTGCCGGGGATCCTTTACTATTCTTGGTAATAAGTATAATTTAGTGAGTCAAGGAGGGGGTGGTGGGAGTGTGGTGGGTGGGGAGCATCTTGTGGGACGGGGCCCTCACCCTGTGGGGTCAGATGCTGTCTATCCACAGGCAGATGTGTCAGAAGAGACATAAACTCTTGGACACTGTGCCGGTGTCCAGGCATAGTTTGCCGGTGTGGGCATTCCTCCCACCATATGAGAGTTGGGTCTGGGATCCCAATTTACCTTGGCTACCCAAGCTGCATGGAAATGGCAAGCCCCATACACGCAGACAGAGTGACCGAGGGAGAGTGGCTCAGGGCAGGGCCCAGGACCCCTGACCTATGCCAAGTGTCTGACAGCAGAACGTAGGCTGCCTGCCAGAGATGCGATCAAATGCCAGACACTGTCATCATCCCAATCCCATGTGGCACACCACTACCTCACTGACCTGCTCCCCAACTCACACTTCCTGCTTACTCTGAAGACCTCCGACAGCCCCTTTTCTCATCCTGTCTATCACCCCAACCCATCTCTGGAACCCAGTTCCCACGGGAGGGGCTAGATCTCCCAAGGAATCCAGTTGGGCAGTGGAACCCTGGCTCAGGTGTGCTTGCCAGACAAGAGCAAGTGTGAACCAGGAAGTGCAAACAACCCCATATTGTCACTTATACCTGGAAGATGCCCTTAGGCTCCCTATTCCCAGAGCCTCCCAACTATAACGAGACTCTGTAAAAGCCCTTTACACCCTTAAATTGTATGGCTGTAGGGTTAAGTACAGGAAGCAGAGGGTCATAGTGTCCTCCTGTTTGCCTGAGGACACTTGTTGCTGTACATTTAGAAATGCAAACCTGCCTCTCTCCAGGGGAGGAGATTTGGGGGGAGCTGGCACCCCCAGCAGAGGGCCACCTGGTCCTTCTGCTCCCTGCCTACCACGTGTAGATCTGAACCTGGCCCTTGTTTCTCCCAGCAGCAGCCTTGGCCAGGCTAAAGCTGAGACTCTGAAGCCCACGCAGACCCTGCTCACAGAAGTCGTCCAGCGGTTGAACCCAAAGGCTTCACTTTCTAGTCCTGCTACTTTGCAGTAATCAGCCTCATCCCCCCAAGTCCCAGATTTACTCCTCCAAAAGCCTTCTCAGCCTCACCTGCTTCCTTCTACCTTAAAGGGTGAGCAGGATTCTCCAAGACCACATGCCTGAGCTCCGGCCACGTATGCTCGCTGTGCATGCACCACGTGCGGCTGGGCCTTCCAGAGCTGACAGCAGATGCCCGTTAGCAGGGGATCCTGGCAGGCAGTGCTGCGCGGGTTCAGGAGCAGGAGCTCAGCCCCTCTCGGCCGTGGGCTCCCCTTCCCCTTCCTAGAGTTTCCCCTAAGCCTCTGCATAGAGTGTGCTCAGGGGAGTGGGACGACCCAGAGTCTTTGTTCCTTCCACTTGGACAAAGTAGCCAGGGCACACAGCAGCACTGGGGACTCTGTGTGAGCCCGAGGAGTGAGCCAGAGAGCCCGCCACTGGCTGAGGAGGCCAGCCATGTACACAGCCCATCCCCATCTTCTGTAAGGGCCAGCAGAGGGAGCCGAGCACCTTCCCAGGGAGGGCTTCCTGGCAGAGGGAACACTCAGGCCGACTTTAACAGCCTGGAAGTCCAGGGGTTGTTTCAGACTGAGGGGAGGGCCAGAGTGAAGGCACAGAGGTGGGAGCAGTTGAGAAATGTACAGCAACAAGCACTCAGGCTGAGGGCGGAGAGTGAGGCTGGAAGGCTGGGAAGGAACCGCAGGGCAGCCCAAGAACTTGGACTTGATCTGCAGGTGAGGGGGTTTCAGGTAGGAGAGAGGAAGGTGACAGCGTTTTGGGGATTGAGCTCTGGTGGTGGAGTGATAGAAGGCAGGGTGTGAGAACAGAGGAGGCCAGTGAGAGGCCTGGGAAGATGTGGCAGCCCCAGAACCAGGGCAGAGCCAGCAGAGGAAGGCCTGAGTCAGCAGGACTGGGGGACGGGGGAAGGGGGGGAGGGGGCGCACGTGGTGTACATGTAGACACGGATGAAGTAACGGCAATGGGGGTGGAGTGGGCACACAGTAACGCAGGGAATAGAGAAAGCAGCTCAGAGGAGTGAACTCACTAAAGGACGGAAGTGATGGAAACGCTGCTCATTTATGCCGAAGGGACCTGGGCTAGGGACCTGCTGGTGGGCAGGGAGCACCACCTCCCACAATGCACAGAGCAGACTCACCCGCTGATGATCTCCTTGGTCTCTGCCCGGATGAAATGCTCCTTCTCAGGGGTCAGAATACACAGGGAGAACTTCTGGCCTGTCCGGCCCTCTCCGTCCACCACGTCTGTGCACTGGTTCATGTTGATGGTGCCCTGAGGAAGGGTTGTGGGCTGCAAGAAGATGAGGTAGGGACACTCAGGGCCAACTCTAAGGGGGCACAGGAAGGCAGCACAGACCATCCCCACGTCCCCAGGCTCATTCCGACCTGTGGCTTCATGACAGGCACCTGCACCTCTGGCAGCTGCATGAACCCGACAAGAGGCACAGGGGCTCTGCCTCACCCTGGCCCCTGGAGCTCCACTTCTTACATGTCCTAGCTGCTCTCCCCTCCCGCCCAGAAGGAGGGTGACAGACCTGCTCTTCTCAGAGGATACCCCGCTGAACACTCCTTTCTTGCTGGAAAACAATATCCCAGCTAGCATTGGGGAGAGGAGGCAGGAAGGAGACCACTCCCTGAGGTCACAGTTGGGATGGCAGAAGCAGCTAAGACCTCATCTTAGAGGAGTTACTTATCCGAGAAAGCAGTGAGAAAAGCTCTAGAGCAGGTGGCTTCAAAATAGCAAGGTTATTTTTAGAGGCAAGAATGGGGCCAGAAGGAAGCCACATCCTTGAAGGCAGCCAGAGGCATGTGTACCACCACCGCATCCAGGAATGCCGTGAGGGGCTGCCCAGTGCCTAACAACAAATAACAACTTCTCCTTTTCTGATAGCAAAGCGGTTAGACATTGAAATTAGGGACAGAAAACCAAAAGAAAAAAGGAAAAAAAAAAGGAAAAATAAAGAAAAGAGGGCTTTAAAAATCCCTCCTGAGGTGAAAACTTAACTGAGAGGTCCTTCCTAAGATGATGTCAGCCCCGCACCCTGTGGCCTCTCATCCCCCCACATGATGAAGCTTTGGGAAAGGAGACAGGTTGCCATGGCTCAGAAACTGAAATGGTTGATGGGGGCTCCAGGACAGTCGCCAGTTTCTCCACTGAGTGGCCCCAAGAGTTTGGCATGCCCCCAGCCCAGTTCCTGGTGAGACAGCAGTGAGCAGAAGGCAATGGCAGCCATCTGGGGTTGCCTAACCGTGAGTCTCCCTGCTGGAGCTCCGAGGAGGTCCTGCCCACCCAGCTGGGAGCTCCCCGAGCCAGGTCAGGAAGGGCCTGGTCTGAGAGTCAGGATGCTGGGACTGGGGGTATGCCTGCAACTGGAAACAGTCCCTGTGTGTGTACCGTAAGGAAGGTGGAGTTCCCGGGGCTCCGGCCTGAGCTCAGGTGCTCTCCCTGTAGCTCTCCAGGCTGCCTAGGAGCTCCTCTGACCACTGCCACTCCCTCATCACTAGGGCTGGCCTGGGCTCCAGAACTCTTGCTCTGACTCGACTGCCCACTCTCTGGCCCTTAGGAGGTGGAAGGAGTCAGCTCCCCAGTCCCCATCGCCTTTCTGGCCCCTGGCTCAGCCAGTCACCCTTGGGTCCAGCTCAGGATGGAGGAGGTCAGGCCAGAGGACCGGCCATGAGCTTGCAGGGAGGCCTCCACCTTCAGGTGGGATAGAGCTTTCACCCTCAGCTGTGTTCAAAGAACACCCTGCCTCAGAAATGACCCCCAGGTTCGGACAGGAGGAGGAGCAAGATTCCCTCTTCTAAGGGTGGGCCGAAACCACATAGAGCAAGTGCTCTCAGGAGAGACGCAACCTCACAGTACTTCTCCCAGGCATTCCTGGAGGGTCCTTGGGCTGCAAAGAGGAGCTTGGTGGGATGTCCTGTAACCAAACAGGGGGTTCTTGGGGGTTTTTAGGAGCAGAGGGCAAAGAAGGTGGCCTGGGACCCACTCATCTGCCTTTGGCTGGAGGGAACCACATACACCTAAGGCCTGGGCTCCCTTCCCCAGATGACAGCTGTTCCACAGCCACAAGAACACAGTACCCAGTCCGGGGCGGAGCCTGCATGGTCCTCCCAGCATTCCCAACTCCTGGCTCTGGCTCCAGCCCCTTCTCTCTTTGCAAGTTCTAAGCCTAGGCCTTCTCTGGCATCATGCTCTCTTTGGGCAAACTAAGGGTAGCAGCCTCTGTCCTCTGAGAGCTCTGCCCCCTCCACCTCCCCTGAAGTGCATGCTCTTGCTGGCACTGACAAGGCTCAGTGTCTCTGAGGTGGGGCCTCTTGCAGTGAGGAAAGGCCACTGGTGCCGTGGACCATTGTGAGGAGTAGGCCGGGAGCTGTGAGGTGTGGGCACGGTACGGCCTTGTTTCCGGAATGAGCCAGGAGTGAGAGCAGAGTGGAGAGGGGTTGGCAGAGGGGCTTTCCCACGCAACTTCCTCACTTGGCCTCGCTGTCCACCCTAACCCCTGGCCTGGGTCTCAATGCTGCTGGGATGCATCCCTCTGACACAGAGGCACAGATTAGATAAATTATCTGTCTGTCCCATAGAACCAATAACTTAAAACTGTAACACATGTATCATACTCACAGGCAAGTTAAATGGGGACAATAAAATGTCAAAAGAAACTCTAATTTTCTTTTTTTCAGGACCATCTAGTGCAGTGGTCGCCAACCTTTCAGACTTCACGGACCACCAGTGGTCCACAGACCACCGGTTGGCAACTGCTGATCTAGTGGGCCCCTGGGAGGCATACACCCCTCTTTAAATGCTATGTTCCGGGCTCGAACTTACCAAACTAGACTCACCATCCCCTCTTGCCAGTAACTGTTTTCCCGGGGGACATGGCCACCAGCTATAGACAAGATTTCCCAGCCGGCCCTGAGGCTGGCCCTGAAGCTGGATGGGGTCACGGGACTCTCCCCAATAATACTGCCAGACTCAGTGGGCCTCAGTATGTAAATGAGGGCTCTCCCTTCTTCCAGAAGTGCCAATAAAAGGCAAAGGCATACCAACCAAGACTGAAGGAATGAATATTTACAACAGAGGTGTCAAGATTCACAATTACAACCTCTTCATGCCTCCTTAAATATTACAGGGCAGGCACCATCTATCCTCTACACTAGAGGAGCAGAAAGTGAACCAGTCCGGAATGGCACCTGCCATGGAATGGTGTCCAAGTCTCCCAGCAGCACGCATGATGCGTCTGCTGTGTGTGCTCCTATGCTGCACCCTGGCCCCTCCCATCCTCGCATTGACGACTCCCACTGCCTTCGAGACTGGCAATGCTGTCACCACTTGTCCCTACTCCGCACGCAGCTGGCCTCCCGCACTCAGAGCTGGGGCAGATCCCACCAAGGTCTCCAGACAGCCTCCGGCCTCCCCACCTCTGTCCGTGAGGGGCCGTACCGCTCGGCATTCTCAGCACTCTGAGGAGAGAGAACTGCTCCTTAACAATCCATTTCCCAGCTACGCTGAGACCTCCTGCTGGGAGAGCAAGGGCAAATATCTAGGCTGTAACCAGAATCCAGTGAGAGGGAACCCCTCACCCCAATGCTGACAGCAGAGAAGCCAGCTCTGTCCAGCAATCTCCCTGCCCTCATTCTGCACCTCCAGAGATTAGAAATCCAGGCCTCCTACAAGGCTGAGCATTACCTACTTTTGCTCGCTCATTTCCCAAAAAAGGGATGGCTGTCTTCAAGGCATCCAACTCTGCTGTTGCCAGTTATGGGTTCCGTCCATGCCCAGCAATGACACTGACAGCCCTGCAGCCATCTGGGGAACCTGCCTCCACACTCCACCACTAAGAAGGCAGAGCTGTTGGAGAGCGGTGGATGGCTTAAACAGGAGGTGGCCAAGCAGGAGGGCACAAGACCTGGACCTTCCTCCAGGGATATGACCACCCTGCTGAGAACCAGCCCTCCTTACTGATCCTCTGCCTGTTGGCCCTCAAGAGGCCAAGGGAACCTCTGCCCATTGCAGGCAGCACCTGTCAGAGGCCCGCTTAGGACAGTCCTACTACAGTAGCTTCACCACCTTGGGATCCGCCATGCCACCCCTGGCCAAGGAGGTGTGCTCTAGGGAAAAGCCTGGGAGCTTGGGAAGGTGAGCTTCTCTGAGCCAGGGAAGGAAGAGGAAAGTGGGACAGAAATACAGAGGGGCCATTTAGAGCTATCAAGGGGGGTATGGGGGTAGGAGGCTTTCTTTCAGGCAGCTGTGCTTCTAGAACTGGGGGCGGCTCATATGCGAGGCCTGGATGGAATGGGAGTCGTCCATTTTGCTCCCTATTCAGTGGGAAAACAAGAGTCACACAAAAACAAAGGCTTCCTCCCTTGGCAAGAAGCACTCCACTCACAAAATCTCAAGGTCAGAAAGAACCTTTCAAGGTGAAGCTCAATCCTATCCACTGTCTGAGTTCCTGCAATAGTTCATGTATTTCTCAAACTCATCTGATCACGACTGACGAAGAGCTGTGCACTTCATACTGGGATGAACACACAGATATGTGCATGCACAAACATGTGAATTGAAAATGATGGAACAGCCAAAACGGGTTTAGGTCAGTGGATAGAGCATCAGCCTGCGGACTGCAAGGTCCTGGGTTCGATTCCGGTCAAGGGCACATGTACGTTGGTTGCGGGCACATCCCCAGTAGGGGATTACAAGAGGCAGCTGATCGATGATTCTCTCTCACCGATGTTTCTAACTCTCTATCCCTCTCTCTTCCTGTCTGAAAAATCAATAAAATATTTTTTTTAAAAGAAAAAGAAAATGATGGAACATTTTTACTGCATGTATGCATTTTGTATTATTCTGTTGTATTCACCAAAACTGACCTAAAGAGTAGGAAAAACAAAGTTGCCAGCAGCCAGCACATCTGATACTGTCAGGAGCAGGCTCTAAACGCTCCAGGTAAGGCATGAAGAATCTACCATTCAGCCCTGACCCATTTGGCTCAGTGGATAGAGCGCTGGCCTGCGGACTCAAGGGTCCCAGGTTCAATTCCGATCGGGGGGTGTACCTTGGAAGCGGGCACATACCCACAAGGGCATGTACATTGGCTGCAGGCACATGCCCAATGGGGAGTGTGCAGGAGGCAGCTGATCGATGCTTCTAACTCTCTGTCGCTTTCCCTTCCTCTCTATAAAAAATCAATAAAATATATTTTAAAAAGAAAAAGAAGAATCTACTTTTCAGTGAAAGCCCTTGCAGCAAGAATCGCAGTAATTACTTACTCAGCTGGGCAGGGCTCTAAC